TTAGCCCAATATTCATTTCTCTAAAAGAGAGGCACCAATGAATGAATGGAAGGCTTTTATTAAGTGCTTTATATATATATGCTAAAACACTAGGATACAAATTAAAAAAAAAAGCAAGATAGTACTTGCCTTCATGGAACTTAGATTCTAGTAGAGGGAGATAAAGGAATCATGGCCAAGGAAGTGTGTGTTTAGGAAGTCACAGGGAAAATACATGGAGCAATAAGAGAGTCAATTGACATGTCCTTTCTGGAAGCAATGGTAGCCAATCATTAGATTTCTGTTTCAGAAGCAAGAAATGAGAAGACGGTAGGGACTTTGGTCTCAGGAGGTCCTAAGAAAGTGGTGGGTAGCAGGTAAAATAGGGAAAAGACGGTGAGGGTAAATGGTTGGCTGGGATTGTAAGCATAGACTAGGGCCAGCTAGATATAGTTGGTTAAGTGCATTTGTGCTGTTTGACTCAACAATTTGTGAGAAAAATGATAGTTGTCGATTCTACATTTTGAAAATTAGAAAATTACTTGTCTGACCACTTAATCTCTTTGGGCTTGTTTCCTTATCTGTACAATTAAGAACCTATAGTAAATGGCTTCTAATGTACCTTAAAACTCTAAATCTATTACTTCCCATAGAAAGCCTGAACATTTTTAGAAAAACTTTTTAATGACTTGTTACAGATTTATGATCTGTGAATTTATAGACGTTACCTTTACACTTATTAATATGCTCATCTACATAAGCTTTTGAGGTTTTGTTGTTGAGTCATTTCAGTTGTATCCATCTCTTTGTGACCCTATTTGGGATTTTCTTGGCAAAGATACTGGAGTGGTTGCCATTTCCTTCTCCAGCTCATTTTACAGATGAGAAAACTGAGGTAAAGATGGGTAAGTGACTTACCCAGGGTCACACAGCTAGTAAGTCTCTGAGGCCACATTTGAACTCTGGTCCTTCTGACTCCAGGGGTCAGCACTCTATCCCCTTTGACACCTTGTTGCCTTTTTGAGGATTTTAGGAGTCTTAAAACTAAGCTGCAAAGGTCTTCAGGGTTTAGTATTGAAGTTTACAGTCCCCTTATCTATACACTTGATTTTATAGATTGACATTTTTTTCTGAAGGATTCTAATCTTTCTGACCTATTCATAGCTGCAGTCCTTCAAAACTTTTAGTTTCTTTGCCTTCAGGGTATTGCTACTCCCTATTCTACCTATGAGGAAAAACCACAGCAGCAAACTGGTAGGCTATGAAACTCTATTTAAAGCTGACACTATCAATAATTTCTAATTGTACTTAACCTTTTGCTTCAAATACATATCCATACAATTGAAGAGTCATCTATTAAACTTAGCTTTTTGAAAAAAGGTACCAAAAAGCTTTGTCTGACAAAAATTTCATTTGGTATGAATATTTCAAAGAGATTCATTCCCGTTTTATTATATATTTTATTATATAAATATTAAATGTATATTATTATTATTATTATTACATTTTATTATATTTATTATTATAATCCTTTCCCACTGTAGCTAGGCTGATTTCCTTTTGCACCCTTATAATGAATGAGTTAATAAAAACCACAAGTGACTAGAATAAAGATTCAAATTCCAATGAAAACCAACTAGTTTCATGCTTCTTTTAAGAGTGCTAACAAAGAGATCAATACGTTCCTTTTGTATATTCTTTTTTTGTTTCAGAGCTGTGTATTAATCATTAACAAGCATATTCCCATATAATTTATGAAATTTCACAGTGTTAAGAGGCATGTATTTAAACTTTTTTAAAAAAGTGGGTAAATGTGAGATAAAGCTGACTTCCCTTAACTAGTTTGATATGACAGTGACAAATTTTATAATTTAACCCAGAACTCATGGCTTTTTATACTCATAATATATTATTAGTGACTAGCCTGAGGTTACAAAGGGAGTAAGTAATTGAGATGGGACTCAAATACAGTTCATTGCTCTAAGAGTATTCCTTGATTTTTCCCTTTTCTTCAATAGCCCATATTTAGTCAGCTGCTAAATTTTGCTGATGCATCCTTAACATCTCTGACATCTGTCCCTTAATCTCAACTCACACAGCCTCCACCTTAGCTCAGGCCCTCATCACCTTTCATCTGAACTACTCTAATAACCTCCCAACTTGTTCTTCCTGCCTCTAGTATCTCTCATCTCCATTTTAACTCCACAGAGCTGCCAAACTGATATTAACTAAAACACAGAGGCTCATGTAACCTACCCCACCCCTAAATGCTCAATGGTTCCCTATTGCCTCTAGGATAAAATATAAAATTCTTAGTCTGCATTTAAAGCCCACCTCAATCTGGCTCCCAAATTAACTTTCCAGTCTTGTTTCATATTACTCTACTTACATAATCTTGTTCCAGTCAAACTAGCTTGCTGGCTGTTAGCATTTCATCTCTCACTTCTGTGATTATGCCTATGTGGTTCCCCTCACCTTTCTCATAAAGTCCCTAGCATCCTATCTCCTATCTAAAATCTTTCCTGATCCTCCAAATTCTTAGCACTCTCTCCCTCTTGAAGTAACCTTGCAGTTATATATTTGTGTACGTGTGACATTTTAAGCACATTTTAAGCACCTCTAGGAAAGGAACAATTTTGTCTCCATATTTCTACAGCTTAGCACAGGACCTTGTAATAGTCACTAAATAAAAATAGGTACATAGTATTTGTTGAACTGAATTTGGATTTACATTGTAACATGCTACTTCTCCTGAAATGGCAACACATAAGGCAAAAGTTTCATCACAACAGCTAACCTGCAGACAGCTAACATTATAAACCATGTTAGATACAATTCAATGTTAGCACCTAAAACACCAAAACAAAACTTCCTGAGGAGTCACTGTAAGGAGATCTTAATGAATACAGGGGATAAGGCCAGTGATAGAATAGTTAATTCATTTTAGCTAATCATTCATCACAAATTCGAGGCAGGTGTGGAGCAGAGAAAACTGTGGCACAGAGGCTTCTTAGTGAGTAGAATGGAGACTAAAGCCCAACGTTCAAAACTCCACATACTTAATGCTGCTGCATCAATTTTGAAAAGCCTTAATTATCTTCACATTTAATATTTCAAGCAAGAGAAGAAAGGTATCATGTACGTCTTTGAGGCATCTAGGTGGCATAGTGGATGAAGCCTTGGACTTGAATACAGAAAGACCCAAGTTCTCAGTTTACTTTTCTATAAGATGGGGATTATACTGGTACCTACTTCACAGGACTGCTGTAAAAATAAAATAAAATATATGCACTTTGCAAACCATAATGTTTTATATAAATGCTAGCAATTTTGCCACAAATAAAACAAGTTCTGAACAGCCCATACTAATTGTGAACTGCCTCTAAAAACCAGATGACACTCATTAATGGGGTAAATATACTCGTGCTTATTTTTGCAATGCACTGTTACCACTGAACTGAATCACAAATATTGGAGTTTTCAGCGCTACATCAGGACAACTAAAATAGTAGTTGAGAAAGAATGAACACAATTCCATTTAGAGTACAAGTGTTTTTGTGTTCAAGATTTGTCTGCACAAAAGACAAATTACAAAAAAATTCAACTAGTAAAAAAAGTAAAGTATTGTTTGACAAAGAAGGGGTTACAGAAACTTTACCCAGGAAGATGGTGGGACAAAATAGTTAAACAAGGAAATAGAATCAATATCATCAAAAAGCACTTATGAAGGATGGAACAGGCTAGACATGTAAATGAAAACTTGAGTGGATGAAAAAAAGTCAACTAAGTATAACTTTTGGTAGTTATAGGTTAAGTCTTGAGAATTTGGCGGCAGGTGGACGCCAGAAATGAAAACAGACACATACGATCGGCCATAATATACACTCGCTTTTAGATTCATTAGACTGTGAGTTCTTTGAAAGCAGGAATAGTTTGCCTTTCTTTGTATCCCCAGTACCTGTGGCCCAAAACCGAACATATAATAGTAGGTGCTTAGTAAACACTGGTTGACTGAACGACTTTAACTGGTGAGTGCTTGTATTGCTAACATTTAAAAAAAAATCACTCAGTATTCTCCAGAGGTGTCTCGTTGGTCAGGCATGGGGGTAGTGGTGAGAACCGAGAAATAGGTGCAAATACATTTAAAAGCTTTGATTATTAGGGCTCATTTTAACCATCACTAACATATAAAAAACAAGTGCCTTCAAACAAAAACAAAAAAGCAACCCTCAAAGGAGTCCACGGTTTGTGCTGAGCCGGATCCCCGGGTCCCTCTGACACTGAAATTCCTCCTAAGACCCCGGAGGCCTTCCTTAGTTCCTCCAACTTTCTCTTCCAGGTGCCTTCGGGAGAACAAAGGCGGCTGAGGACCCCTAAGGGCTTAGTCGGCAGGGGAGGTGGTTGACTTCATTTCCCGGCCCCCTTACGCCTTCTTGCCCTAGTCCGGACCCGGTCCAGCCCGGGATCAGCGACCCACCCCGCCCCTCGGGTCCCCAGCCTCCCCCGACCTCCTCAGTTGGGGCTTCATTCATTGACTGGGGTAGGCGGGGCGGGGCTGGGCTGCAGAGCTTGGGTGTGAGGGAGGGGCGTGCGCGGCACCTGAGGGAGAGGGGAAGGTGGGGACCCGGGGGTGGTGCTTACTCTGCGTGTCCGTTAAGGAGATCATGGCTGCGGTGGTGGCAGGGGCGGTGGCAGCGGCGACTTGGGGGAAAGCGAATAGTGCCGGGGGGATGTAAGGGAAAGCAACCCTGGCAGCAGCCGCCACGTCTTCCGGAAACACGCAGCCGCCGGTACCTCGATTCTAAAACATCTTCCTGATGGCTGAACCCGCTCCCACAGAGAGCCAATCGCGAAGGATCTTGTTTCATGTGGTAGGCTTTGGTCCGCCCCCTAGGACCAATCCGGAAGGGTGCTCCCTCTGATTGGCTGCAAGAGTCGAGCCAATGATCGTGCGCTGTCGCGTTTGGCTGAGAAGAAGACTTCCGGCGGAGGGAAGCTATCCCTAACGGCTGAGGGTAAGTAACTTGAGCTGGCGTGGAGATGCTGGCCTCTGGGGCCGACCTGGGCTCTGCTGCTTGAGGTCCGGCGGGGAGAATGGCAGCGGTGAGGTTGCTGCTAGGGACTGGTGAGGCGATGCTCCCTGCGTTAGCAAGCGAGGAGCCTTAACGGGTCTGCGGCGCCCTCCCTTTCCACTCGTCCCTTCCTCTCAGTTGGCGGCCGGGTGGGTGACTCCTTGACCAGGCGGGCCTGGATTTGGGCTAAGATTAGGGAAGCCAGGATGTTGCTGAAAGGAGCCGCCTCTGGCCACCCGAATCTTTTGGGAAGTCTGCTTGGCATAGCTTTTTGTGTACCCCTCTGTTGGCTTTTTTGGGAGGGAAAGTTGCGTATTTTTTCACGTCAGGCACAATTTTAGAGAGTTCGGGTGCAACTTGTAAGACTTGTCAAGTTGTGTGTGTGTGTGTGTGTGTGTGTGTGTGTGTGTGTGTGTGTGTGTGCGTGTGTGTGTGTGTGTGTGTTTTAATTTTTTTAATCAAGCTGTTACTGATGCGTAAATGCACAATTTAGAGTGATTTTCAGATGAACTGTTGTCTAGTTAGCCTCCTATGTCTTATACTTCTGAAGTTGATATTTATTTTGAGATGTTTTATTGATGCCTTGTTTCTATATTACAGTCATTTCTAGATATAACCAGGGTTGTGCTGGTAAAAATGATTAACAGTCGACTTTTGGGAGAAGGGGAGGTACTCTGGATCCACATTTAAATTTAATATACGTTATTAACATTTTCTTCATTATTTTCCTAAGTCTAGACAACCAACTCAATCAAAATCTCATTTGTCATGTTTGCCAGTTTCAAAACATTTAACTGAGGCACACCCCTGGATGTAACCCTCCCCCTCTCCTATGTTAAATCATCATGTAGTAAAGAAAATCACTTAAGCAAAAACCGACTATATAGTCTGGATATGCCGCATTCAGTCAGTCTCCCACCCGTTTTCCTATGGGAAGAAAGTATGTTTCTTTATCTGTTCTCCCTGACATTATCTGCATATCTATCCTTTATATCTTTTCTGAGTTCCACTCCCATATTTCTAACTGCTTTCTAGACACTTCCATGTGGATAGAAACGTCTCCCATAGGCATCTCAAATTTACTCTGTCTAAAGCAGAACTCATTATCTTTTCCCTAAAATATTTAACTCTCTTTTTTAAAGTCCTTGTTGTTGTTGCTTTTTTCACACTCAACCCAGTACTCTAACCTGTCAAGATCTTTTTGAATTCTGACTCTGCTATTCAACATGTTAATTATTCCTCCCACATTTGTGTCACCTGTAGATTTGATAATCGTGCCATCTAAATCATTGTTAAAAATGTTAAAAATGATGGGGCCAAGCATGCATCCCTGAGGCTCTCCATTAGAGACCTTCATGGAACCATTAACCATTAGTTTTGGGTCCAGCCATCCAACTAATTCTGAATTCATCTAATTGCACTGTTGTCTAGCCTACAACTCCATCTTTCTATATAAGTAATATGAGAGATTATAAAAGTATTTGCTAAAATCTAGGTTAACTATATCAAGTGTTCCCTTGACTACCACTTCAATAAGTCTGTCAAAAAAGGAGCTGACAATAGCATGTTGTGCCCTCCCCTTTTTTTTTAAATCAAACTATATTGACTCTGTGATTACTTCTTACTTTCTTAGGTGTTCACTAACCATCTCGTTAATGAAACATTCTAGAATTTTGCCTGGCGTATAGTTTGTAGACTCCATTTTCCTCCTCTTAACAAAATTAGAGCATTTTCTTTTTTCCAATCCTCTGGTACCTTTCCCATTCTGAATGATCTTTACAAGATCACCAGTGGTGCTCAGCACTCAAACCTACCAGTTATTTCAATACCAAAGGACGTTCCTCTAGACCTTTTGTTATGAATTCATCAAAGGCATTTAGGTGCTCTCTTATCTCCCCATGTATCTTGCATATCAGTTTTCCACTAGTGATATTTATTTCATTTATTCCAGTTTAGAGAGCATTTTTCTTGGTGGATAAAATAGCAGCAAAATTAGAAATGAGCAGTGCTACTTTTTTCTGTCATCAGTTTCCATTGTGTAGTCCACCCTGAGCAGTAGTCTTGTACCATCTTTGATCTCCATATTTTCCTCAGTATTTCAATGACTTGTGATTTTGTTGGTGTGGCAACATTCTTTACTGATACAACTAAAAGCTACAGATAAGTTATGATTAGTAAGTGACTTGCCTGTGGGCACAAACTAGTAAATGAGAAATGGGACTTGAACCCAAGTCTTCCTGATTTAGAATTCAGGATTGTATCTGTTATGCTTACTGCCTTTCTAACTTAAAAAAAAAACCCAAAGAAACAAATAAGAACAAAAACTAGCTTTTACAACATCAACTCCAAGAGAGGCAGCTAGATAGATATGGGAGGATTCTGAGTTTTGTTAGTGGACCAGAGTTAGGAATATATGTGATATATAGACATGAGGTCTCTGTATAGTCTATAAGCCTTTGACTTTTCCTCACTTTTAATCTTGTTCCAGTATGTTCAACTTTGCATTGAAGTCACCCAATTTTAAAGCATATACTGATTGAATTTGTAAGGTCATATTGAACTTTGTAGAATTTCTCTACCTTCTTATCCTCTGCAGCAGATGTTGGTGTGAACTATGATTGTGTTCATTTTGCAAATGCTTCTCATGACCACTACAATATGAGATGACCATATGTCCCATGAAATATTTTTTCTTATCCTTCAATGCATGAAAAATCTTACACTGCTAACTCCTTTATTTGTCTTTGCAGGAATGACTTATGAGGCACTTGCATGTTTAACTGAAACTTCTTTTTGTCTTCTGGTTTCATTTATAGCAAGAATGTCAGAATTGACAAGATTCAGTTCCTCAGGTAGTATGTCCTCTTGTTCATCTGTGTGATTCTTAGCATTCTCTATCCCCTTTTCCTCTACTTTGCTACCATCACTGTAAACTGTATCACAAAGGATTGGGGGACAGTTTTACATTTTTCTATGTTTCATGGGTTGCCATAGCCAAAGAATTCATTGCCAAACAGCTAGCAAGTCTTTGAAATATCCCCTTTCTTCTTCTCCAACTACAACAACAAAAGCTGAATACCTTAGGGATGGCAGGGAGATGGAATGTTCCTAGTGGATAGTCTTGAGCAATATGGGGGAATCTGGATCTTTTTTCTTTTTTAGTTAAGCTGATTTTAATGTATTTGTATATTTTATTTTTAATAAAACATGGTTTTCATTTGCAGTACAAGCCTTTATCTACCTGTGGAAACATCTTTTACCGTAGACTGATTTACAGTCTCCGCAACGAAGTACCTTCATTGTAATAAAAAGGTCTGTTGCCTTTTCTGTTTTTTCATCGTGATAATAGTAGCATGTGATAACAATAGCAACAATCTTGTCTCTACTCAGACGAGCATACTGGGATCTTTGATTATTGGTAGGCAACTGTAGTTTAGTTTTTAGTGGGAGGAGAGAACAGTAATCTCAAGTAGATGAAGTGACTGGGAAGGGATAGTCTTTGAGCAGTGTTTTGGAGGAGGGAAGAGGATTTTCTTACATCTTCACTAACTAGGAGATGGATTCTTTGCTGGAGTAGCATTTCTTAATTAAGGACTATTTGTAAGTTAGGAACAATTCACATATTATTCATTTGAATTCACTCACATTTTATTAATTTTCTAATACTTATCAGTGAGAATACTCCGATGCATAGAACAAAGAACTTTAAAAATTTATTGATCAGTCTTTCTTTTTTAGAAAGAACTTCAGGGATTGTAAAACAGTTTGAAAATGGAATCAGTTTCAGGTGGGTTGAAATAATTACCTTTTTTAGTTCTGTTTTATTTCTAATTCTGCTTGCTTCAAATTTAAGCATCTAAAAACATTTTGCAGATCACAAGCAATAGTCATTATCAAGGCTATCTGGAGAATATAGTGAATATGGACTTGGCCACAGACTTGGGTGCCCATGACATGTGAAAGATCTGTATGAGCCTGAACTCTCAGCTCATACAGTGTTTTGAAATGATACATCCAAATTTTGCCTAAACGCCCATTTTGCTGTCCTGATGACTAGCCTGGAGGTAGTGATAAAAAGAGGTGCTTAAGTTTTAAGAGCCTAGGTCTTGTCCTTCATTTTCTTTTTCTGAGTTTACATTATCATTATATGTTGATTCAGATTCTTTAAGCATGTAAACTATTCCTGAAAAGTAAGTTAAGTTGATAGGATAAGTTTTAATGAATAACTGCCTCAGAACTATGTGGCTTCTTTTGAACAGCCCAACTTGTTGGCTTTGTGTATTTATTCAACAGATGTTTATTAAGTTGCCTACATTATGTTCGGCATTGGGAAATACAAAGACAAAACTGGAACAGTCTTTTCCTTCAAGGAACTTACATTCTGTTGAGGGGAGGGGGAACATGAATACAGTTAAGTAAATACAAAATGGATATTAAGTAATTTTCTGGGAGTGAAGGAGAGTACCACTAGCAACTGAGAGATTAGGGTAAGTCTCATGTAGGACATGTCATTTGAGCTGAGCCTTGAAGGAAGCTAGACATTCTGTGAGGTAGAGAGTACATTGCAGTCATGAAGGACAATCTATACAAAGGTACAGGAATGGGGATATGGAATGGTATATGTGGGGAACAAGTAGCTAAGCTTTTTTTTTGGCATTTATGGAACAGAGTCTATGAATTTACAATAACTCTGGAAAGGTAGGCTGCAGTCATATTGTGAAGGACTTTGAATGTCAAATGGAAGGGTTTGTATTTTATCCTAGAGGCAATTAGGAGCCACTGGAACTTTTTGAGAAGAATATTGACATGTTCGTACCTATGTTTTAGGACAATCAATTTATAAGCTCCATGGAGGGTGGATTGGAGAGGAAGATACTTGAAATAGGAATATTTATTAAGAGGTTATTCTAATAATTCAGGCCTGAAGATAAGGTGGATCTGAACTGGGTAGTGACCAAGTGAATGGAGGAAAAGGGAAGAACGTTAACAGATGTAGAAATGTAATGAATAGGACTTTGAAGCTGATTGGATATTTGGTTGAAGGACAGTGAATATTTAAGGATGACTCCAAGGGTTGTTGTCATGGATGGCTGGAGTGATGGTGGTACTTCACCATAAATGGGAACGTATTAAAAAGGGGAAAGTACACAACTACAGAAGTTTGATTTTAGACTTGTTGAGTTTAAGATACTTATGGTACATTAATTTGGAATGTGGGATTGGAGCTCAGCAGAGAAATTAGGGCTGGATATTTCAATCTGAGAGTCATCTGTGTAAACATGATCCCAGGGGAGCTCTAAGATCATCAAAGAAAGAATAGAGAGAGAAGGGAGCCAAGGTGGTACTACATATAGGAGTTGAGATATGGATTATGATCCAGCAAAGGAGACTGAGGAGTAATTAAACAGGAAGGAATACAACCAGGAGAAATTAATATCAGGAAAATCCAGGGAAGAGAGAGTATCCAGGAGGAAGAGGTGGTTGAAACTATTAGATGCAGCAGAAATGTCAACAAAAATGAAGACTGAGAAGACGTTGGTTGTATTTGGCAATTAAGAGATCATTAGTGACTTTGGAGAGAACAGTTTCAGTTGAGTGCTTAAAGTGGAAGCCAGATTGCAGGGGTTTGAGGAATGAGAGGAGAGGAAGCAGAAAAATAAGTATTTACAGCTTTTTCGCCGAGTTTGACTGTGAGGGAGAGGAAAAATGTAGGCAGATAGCTTGAAACTGGCACTACAAAAGGTCATCCAATATTTATTTTGTAGTGTAGCTATTATTATGTTGTATCAGTCATGTAGTATCAGGTAATAACAGTGAAATTGAGATTGAAGGGAAGTAAAACTATGACAGTGATGATTACTTTGCATGTCTTTATTTTGATACATTGGAAAACATTAGAGATACCTTTTCACAGTTTTCCAATTGTCAATTGAATGAACTGTTATGGGAGAAAATCCACCCTCTGCTACATCTTGGTAACTTCAGTGTTCGTATTGATTAGAACTATACAGGATGGCATTTTTTATTGGAGTTAACGAAGAGATAATGAAAACCCCAGTAATACATAGTTTTGCTCTTTGTACCTCTAGCGCAAGGTTATAGTCATGAACCCTATTTATCACTAGGCTAATAAATATATAAACACATTGATGTGAAATTTATTATTATAGTAGGTATGGGAAATTTTAAATAGATGGCACTACAAATGTCCATGTGTTAAGGTTTGGTCATTAGAATATAGATGGTGTAGGAACTCTTGATTACCTTCTAGCCTCATTTGGATAATTCTTCCTTTATTTTGTGCTCTATCCATTGCTTGGTTGCTGAGCAACATGTAATAAAGTTTCTAGTACAGTCTGAGGTTTGATATCATTATGGTCCTTGTGGACCTCTTTTGTTTCCTGTAGAGCTAAATGAGGAATTAGATTCTGTCACCAGTGAGCTACAAGCAATAGAAATTCAGATACAAGAACTTCTGGAAAGACAACAAGAACTTATTAAGAAAAAAACTGCCCTAAAGAAGAAAATAAAGGAGTCTCTAGAAGATTCAGATGCTGGCACAAGCTCAGAATTGGATTCTTCACCTGAGGGCTGGAATAAACAAGGTTTTACTTTTTATCTTGCTAATTTTTTTTGTTATTGTTGTTGTTTTGGCATAAACTGAAATTTAAATTGTTCTGTTTAGTATGCTACTTTGCATCAGTCTTAGAAAGGTTATGCTGGTCATTCCTTTCAGGGAGTAGAGGGAAAAGAGAGCTGGATGTGGGTATTGGATACAACTTTGCAGATCCTTGTGAATTTAGTTTTCATGGTTTAGATTTAAATTTTTTTTTTGGAAAGATATAGTAAAATTTAGATTAACTTTGATGCCTGCAGAATGTGGTTATTCTAATTACATGAATTTGCTTAGTTCCTGCTTGAATGTTGTTGAAAGCTTTTTAAAAATATATTTGCTTATGGGGCAGATAGGTGGTGCAGTGGATAGAGCACCGGCCGTGGAGTCAGGAGGACCCGAGTTCAAATTTGGCCTCAGACTCATAACACTCACTAGCCATGTGACTCTGGGCAATTGCCTCACTTAAAAAGAAAAAAAAAAGAAATATATATATATATCTACACACACACATACTCATTGAATCTTTATTTGATGAATCAGGATCTTGCAGTACTTTGTGATGTCATTAGGAACATCATTGATAACTTTCACAATATTAAAGATACAAAAAGTATTGAAATCAGTAGGTAAAGATTTTAAGGCATATCCTAAATTATTGATTATTATTATTTTACTAAATCTAAAATAGCTTATTTTCTTGTGATTTGTTTCTCCTAAAAATGAGCTGTATAGAAAAAATATTGCCATTTATGAGTTCTGGTTAATTGGATTCCTGTTAGTAGACATAAAAAAAAGTTGATAAACATTTATTAATTGCCTACTATGAGCAAAATATGCTAGGTTTTGTTATTTCTAAGTGCATCATACAACCTGTATTGAAATGTAACTATCAGAACATTCTAAAGTAAAACAAAAAATGTTTAATTATGAATACCATACTTACTGTGTTAATTAGGAGTTGCCAATATTTTTAGCCTTATCTGAATGAAAAAAAAATCTTCTATATTTATTTCATTGACCTTATTTGAATGTTTCCTGAAATAGTCAAGCTAGTCATAAAAATAAATCAGTATTTTGAAAAAAAGAATGCCTCCCCAAAAGTTAAAAATTGTTTGTTGTACTTAGTTCATTTGTATTTTGTTAATGAATATTGCATATGAAAATCTGTTTTAGAAAACCACCCATCTAAGTATGTTGTTTGTTTTAAGTGTCTCAGTGTATGGAATTTATTTTATGTCTTTCTCATCCTAGATTTTCCGTGGTCTGGGAAAGTTAAAGATGCCTTGCAGAATGTCTTTAAACTGCAAAAGTTTAGGACTCTACAGCTTGAAACTATTAATGTGACAATGGCTGGAAGGGAAATATTTCTTGTGATGCCTACTGGGGGTGGAAAGAGCTTGTGTTACCAGTTGCCGGCAGTATGTTCTGATGGTATGTGAAAGAAAAATTAACTAAAATTGGGGGAATATGTGGTTTTCTTTCATATTTATTTGTAAATAGCTTTAAAATAATTTCTAAGTAATATACTGATTTTGCAAAATTTTTTGTTGAGTGTATCTTTGCAGAAATTTACCTACTAGTTTAGTTTTTTAAAATTAATTTTAGTGATTTTTTTCCCTTATGAAAGTATTTTGATGTAGGCCTTGAAACATAAATAGTAGAAAGTAGCAAGGTAGAGTGCAAGGAATATTGGACCAAGACTTTGAAAACTTGAGTTTGAGTCACAGCTCTGTCACTAACCACTTATGTGACATTGAACAAGTCACAGAACTTTTCTGATGCTTTTTTGTCACCTATAAATTTGGAACAACATTATCTAATATGTTTATCTTCAGTAAGAGAGTACTTTGAAAACTGTAAAGCACTAAATAAGCGTGGGGTAATTTAAGTATTATTATTAATATTTCATTAAAGTTCTGCTACCTTAACATGGAGGTAACCCTGGTTTCTGAAAGGATATACCATGCAGGGCAACTAGGTGGCACAGTGGATAAAGTATGGGGCCTAAAGTTAGGAAGACTCATCTTCTTGAGTTCAAAATCTTTGTCAAGAGAACCCCAAATGGGGGATCATGGAGAGCTGGACCTGACTGCAACAACTGAACAATATTAACATCATTATGGGATTGACTGCCAGATAATTTTTTTTGGTTAAAACCACTCATGAAGACAATATTAAGATTATATTTTGTATCAGTGAAGGAAGTATGTGCACTGATTAAATCCTGGAATCTTGAAGTATTGAAGTAAGTATTGTTATTTTTATTAAAATTGTTCAGAGTTTTTAGGACTATGTCAATCTCAGCTCTGGGATGGAACATAAAGGAAAGGCTATAGTTTTCAGAAAAAGCCATTAATTTAGTTATATTTTCACTTGGACTCAAACCCAGAAGACGTTAATGTAGACTGGTATGATGTATTAAATGCCACCATGAAACTAACACTTATAAATTTATAAGTTGCTGGGTTTTTTTTTTTTGCTTAAACTGTAGGTTCCTCATGGATACCCTTCTACATCACCTTAGAAGTTTGATCCAAAGATGTTATTGGCTTGACTAATACTATATTGAAATATTACTCGTGTGTGTGTGTGTGTGTGTGTGTGTGTGTGTATGTATGTATGTATGTATGTGTATATATATATATAAATATATTTGCACTTAATTGTAGCCTTCTGGATTAGGGGGAAGAAGGGGGGAAAAAGAACAAAGTAAGAAGTGAACAGCAGAGAACAAAAGAAAACTTACAAGGAAGCAAAGATGGACAGCTCTGAACACAATGTGTAGTATATATTATATAGGCTTTCTTGAAATGGAAATTTATTGTTGTATATTTTGAATCCTCTCTTCTGTTCTGCTGTGCACATGGTGATGCTTTTTTTTCTTTTCTCATTTTGTATTTAAATTCCAATATTTAAGTTTATAATGTTTCTTTTTCTTAATATGTATTTAAGTTTTAGTATTTGAGTTTAAAAAAAAGAAATATTACTGGTTGTAAATTAAGCATTCAAATTATTAGTCCTTGGAATATCGGACTATATTGGAAAATTGATAAGGTAAGAGAAATTAACAAATATTAAGACTTCTGCATAGTTTTCAGATTTTTGCTTATTGGCCCGTATTTACCTAATATCCCAATAGCATACTGTGAGGGAATTGTGAAGTTTAAAAGCAGAAATGTTATCTTTCAGGTTTCACACTTGTGATCTGCCCTTTGATTTCTCTTATGGAAGATCAGTTAATGGTTTTAGAACAATTGGGAGTTTCAGCTACTTTGCTAAATGCTTCCAGCACTAAGGTATGTTTTGGATAGGTATTAAAGGTGGGTTCATAGTGTCTTGTTCCTCTAAAGCAATAAACTGGTAACTTATTATTAGAATCCTATAGTAATAATTAGGAATATGTAATTATGCAATAAACAAATGAAAAATATTTTATAGGCAAGATAGCTTACTCTTATATAGTTTATTCTGTTTGGGGAATAAATGCATATACACTATAAAACATTTTCCACTTATTCTTTTTGCCATCCTTCTATGCCTATCCACCTCTTTTTCAAGAGGTTTGGTAGGAATAATGCTTTAGTTAATCTAAAACCTAGTTGGATTAAAAACACCCTCTAGACTGGGGGTTCTTGGCCTTTTTTGCAGCATTGGCACCTTTGTCAGTTTGATGAAGTCTATTCATGCCTTGTCTCAGTAACTTTTTTTTTAAATAAATGAAGTACAAAATTTCAGTTAGAGGTTAGTAAAAATTAAGATGTATTTTTTTCTCCATCTAAGTTTTCCCCATCTAAGATCCCTTGAAATCTGTCCACTGACCTCTTGGAAGCCTGAGGACTCAAGGTTAAGAACACCTGTTCTAGACTTTGCTCTAGACTTTTCATTCCTCTGTCAGCCCTTCTAAAGCAGGAGTTCTTCAACTTTTTTGTGTCTGGTGAAGCCAGATGCCTTTTCAGAATAATATTTAAATGCATAAAATAAAATGAATAGGATTACAAAAGAAACCAATTATATTGAACTAAATTTATCAAAATATTAGGAGGGGGCAGGAAAGGTCACAGACCTCAGGTTAAAAACTCCTGTGCTGGAGGTTTTCCTTGACAGAATTAGAGTCTGGCTACTGATGTGCTGCTGAGTAAGCAACTTAAGAGGAAGGGGATGGAAGTAGCATTATGAGATTTCTAACCAGCTCTTTAAATATGATTAATTTCTTTAAAAAGCTATCTCTCCATACCCTTTGTGCTTACACATTTTTCACTTGTCATTTGTTATTTTATAATACATATGTTTATGTCATATCGAGTTAGACTAAGAGCTGTAGGCCATGGAACCTGCTTTAATTCAGTCTTTGTATTTCTCTCATCATCTAGGACAAAGCTCTGCATATTGTATATATTTTAAGAATATTTATTAAAAATATTTTGAATGAATGTGAGATTTTATCAACTGAAATTCTGCCAAAGATATATTAGAAGACCCTGAATTGTATAATAAAGAATGTAATAAATTATGATATGTTGTAGTAGTAGTAGTAGTAGAGTAGTAGTAATAAATTATAACAATGAATTCCTTTAATAACCATTTTAGCAAAATAGACCAGAAGGTTTTTTAAAATTTCTGTTTACTTTTTAACAGGAACACGTGAAATGGGTTCATGCTGAAATGGTAAATAAAAACTCTAAGCTAAAGCTCATTTATGTTACCCCAGAGAAAATTGCTAAAAGCAAAATGTTTATGTCAAGGCTGGAGAAAGCCTATGAAGCAGGAAGATTTACTAGAATTGCTGTGGATGAAGTTCATTGCTGTAGTCAATGGGGACATGATTTCAGACCTGGTATGTTTTATTTTATTTTATTTTTTATGTTTTATTAATTTATTTTGAATTATCAACAATCACTTCCATAAGCTTTTGAATTTTAAATTTTTCTCCCCCTCCCTACCTCCCTCCCTAAGACAGTGTACAGTCTAATATAGGCTATACATATACATTCCTATTAAACATATTTTCACATTAGTAAGTAAGAATTAGAACTAATTAGGAGGAACCACCAGAAAGAGGAAACAAAACACAACAGAAGAAAAAAAAATAGCAAATAGTATGCCTTAATCTGCATTCAAACTCCATAGTTCTTTCTTTGGATGTGGATAGCAGTTTCCATCGTGAGGCTTTTGGAGATGTCTTAGATCCTTGTATTGCTGAGAGGGGTTAAGTCTATCAAAGTCAGTCATCACTCAGTGTGGCTGTTACTGTGTACAGCGTTCTCCTGGTTCTGCTCATTTCACTCAGCATCAAATCATACAGGTCTTTTCAGGTTTATCTGAAGTCTGCCTGTTCATCATTTCTTATAGCACAATAGTATTCTATTACATTCATATATCACATTCACAATTATGATTACTATCTGTGCCTTTCTCTCTATCCTTCTCCCCCCTTTATGCTTTTCTTTCTCCTTTTCCCTCCTCACTAATGTTTTGCTTTTGACCACTGCCTCCCTCTTTCCCACCTCCCTTCTATTAGCCCCCTCCCTTTTCTTTCCCCTTTTCCTGCCTACTGCCCATAGGGCATGTTATATTTCTGTACCTAATTGATTATGTTATTCCCTTCTTGAGCCAAATCTGATGAGAGTAAGGTTCAAACAATGCTCATCTCCCTCCCTTCTTTCCCTCTGCCGTAATAGGTTTTTGTGCCTTTTCCTGTGATGTAATTTACCCTTGTCTGCCTCCTCCTTTCCTTTTCTCTCAGTACATTTTCTTAGTAGTTAGATCAGAATAATTCACTTACTTGGATCCATTTAACCCACTTGATTAGATTTTTTTCATCATTACATCAAAGTCAATTTATACCCCCCCCTTATGTATGCCCCTTTAAGATGGTGTAATAACAATACAGTTCTCAAGAGTTACAAGTGTCATCTTCCCTTGTAGTGATGTAAACAGTTTGCCCTATATTAATAACATGTGTTTCTTTCTGTCCCATTTACCTTTTTATGTCTCTTGAGTCTTGTATTTGAAGATCAAATTTTCTGTTGAGCTCTGGTCTTTTTATCAGGAAGGTGTGGAAGTCCCCTGTTTCATTGAATATCCATCTCCTCCCCTGAAAGATCATGCTCATTTTTTCTGGGTAGTTGATCCTTGGTTGTAATCCAAGCTCCTTTGCCTTATGGAATGTCATATTCCATGCCCTATGGTCTTTTAATGTAGAAGCTGCAAGGTCCTGTGTAATCCTGACTGATTCCACGATATTCAAATTGTTTTTTTCTGGCTGCTTGCAGTATTTTCTCTTTGACCTGGTAATTTTGGAATTTGGCTACCATATTCCTTGGTGTTTTCAATTTGGGATCTCTTTCAGGTGATTGGTGGATTCTTTCTATGGCTATTTTACTGTCTGGTTCTAGGACCTCAGGGCAGTTTTCCTTTATGATTTCCTGAAAGATACTGTCCAGGCTCTTTTTTTCATCGTGATTTTCAGGTAGACCAATAATTTTTAAATTGTCTCTCCTGGATCGATTTTCCAGGTCAGTTGTTTTACCAATGAAATATTTTACATTTTCATCTATTTTTTCATTCTTTTGTTTTTGTTTGACTGATTCTTGTTCTCTCATAGAGTCATTAGCTTCCATTTGCTCAATTCTAATTTTTTTTTTGTTTTTTGTTTTTTGTTTTTGGCTACGCAATGGGGTTAAGTGACTTGCCCAGGGTCACACAGCTAGTTAAGTGTTATGTGTCTGAGGCCGGATTTGAGCTCAGGTCCTCCTGAATCCAGGGCCAGTGCTCTATCCACTGTGCTACCTTGCTGCTCCTCAATTCTAATTTTTAACAAATTGTTTTCTTCTATTAGATTTTGTACCTCCTTCCTCATTTGGCCAATTGTATTTTGTAGGGACTTGTTTTCTTCACTGTACCTTTTGTCCAGTTGGCCAACTATATTTTTTAAGGACTTGTTTTCTACAGTTAATTTTTGTACTTCCTTTTCCAAGCTATTGACTCTCTCTTGCACACCTCTCATTTCGTTTCCCATTTTTTCTTCTACCTCTCTCATTTGACTTTTAAAATCCTTCTTGAGCTCTTCTAAGAAGGCTTTTTGGGCTTCAGACCACTTCATATTCCCCTTTGAGGTTCCAGATGTAGGTTTGTTGACGGTATTATCCTCTTCAGAATTTCTGCCTTGATCTTCACTCTTCCCATAATAAAAATCTATCGTATGTTTCTTTTTGCTCATGGTGTTTGCTTATTTCCTGGCCTTTAAAGAGATTGGGCTCTCCTGCTGGGGAGCAGAGGGCACTGGCCCAAGCTTCTTGTGTTGGGAGTCTAGGGCCTGGTTGATGGCTTTATGTACTGGGGCCTCCAGTGTTGACAGTTGGAGGCTGTAGGGTTCTGGCAGCTTACTGTTGTTGGGCTGGAATCAGTAACACTGGAACTCTAGGGATAGGATTGGGTAGTGAGGCTCCTGGAGATTTCCTGCTCACCCAGGCCTTTCCTTCCTTTTGCTTTCTTCAGCTCCTTTTAGATGGATGTTGTAGGGTGTTTATCTGCCTGGGGCCTCTTGGAGCGCTGCTTCCCTTAGTTTTGCTGAGGCATTGGGAGGGCTGGTTGCTGTAGAATGTCCAGGCACCTGGTGGTTTTTTGAGCTGGTTTCCACCAGTTCCCCCGCCCTCAATGAGGCACTCAGGATTCCAGGTGTTGGTGTTTGCCTGCTCCACCACTTGGGCTTCAGGATCTCCTCCTGGTATGCTGAGGTGAGGCTTTCTGCTAGCTTGCTGGGATGCCTCCTGTTCTGTACTGCTCCCCTTCCCCCAGAGTTAAGAGGGGCCTTTCCAGTTAATCCCTCAAGCTACCTGGGCTACTGGACTGCTGCACCCTATCTTTCTTCTGGTTCAGCTGTTTCAGGGTTTTTCCTGGGGTGATATTTTCTGGGCTTTTCCTGGTATGTTTTATATACCTATGTTTAATAGTAATTATATAGTTTATGGTACTAAATATATACCAGAAAAATAGATTCCTGCAATAGCCTTCTGATTGGTCTCCCTGCCTCATTTTTCCCCATTCTAGTACATCCTCTATCCAGTTGTCAAATTGATCTTCCTAAAGCACAAGGTCGATTATATCATATCCCACTCAGTAAACTCTGGTGGTTCCCTGTTACCTCCAGGCTCAAATGTAAAATCTTGTTTGGGGGCAGCTAGGTGGCGCAGTGGATAGAGCACTGGCCCTGGAGTCGGGAGGACCTGAGTTCAAATATGGCCTCAGACTCTTGATACTCACTATCTGTGTGACCCTGGGCAAGTCACTTAATCCCATTGCCTAGCAAAATACAAAAAAAAAATCCTGTTTTAAATTTCATCATAACCTGATCTCTTCCTACCTTTTTTGTATTCTTTCGCCTTATTTGCTTCCATGTACTCTGCAATCCAGTGATACTGGCCTCCTTGCTGTTCCACTTACAAGATGCTCTGTCATTTTCACTGACTGTCCTCCATGCCTGGAATGGTTTTCCTCCTTAGCTCATTCCTCTGGCTTCCCTGCCCGCCTTTAAGTTTCACCTTTGGCAAGAAGCCTTTCCCAATCCCAGTTAATGCTAATGTTATCCCTCTGAAATTATCTCCAATTTATCCTCCACATATCTTGTTTGTACGTATTGTTTATGTGTTATTTCCCCCCCATTAGATTGTGTACTCCTCAAGGGTAGGGACTGTCTTTGGCTTTTTTATCCCCAGCACATAGTCATTTCTTGTTGACTTGACTTCTGAATTCACTTCATTATCTCTAGCCTACATATTTCTATTTTTTCTTTTATCAGAAGAGAATAGGATATTTTGTCAGATGCCTCACTAAACTTGACTAGAATTAAGTTGTTCCTTAGCTCCTGATGTTTGCCCTCTGACACTCTTCCTGAAGAACTCCTTAAATTAAATTCTGTAGGCAAATGTTACTTAGTAACTTAGAGGCAGCTTAGAGGCAACTGGATAGAGAAACATTGTGTTTAGACATAAAAGGACCATAATACTTGAATTACCTACATCACAGGACTGTTGTGAGGAAGGTGCTTTTTGGGCTCAAAAGCACTAGAGAAATGTTATTAATAATAATTTATGTACTAATCAAAATCAATAATAATTATATTGCTTCATACATTGTTATAGTATGTGACCTACTTTAATTCTTGCAGGTGGGGAAGGATACCTTTAACAGTTTTTTTCCCCATTTTTTTTCCAGATTATAAGGCACTTGGTATTTTAAAGCGGCAGTTCCCCAATACATCACTAATTGGTTTGACAGCAACTGCTACCAGTCACGTTTTGAAGGATGCTCAAAAAATTTTATGTGTTGAGAAGTGCTTTACATTTACTGCATCTTTTAATCGGCCAAATCTTTATTATGAGGCATGTAGCTTTTATGTTAATTGAATACACTACATGAAACTTTAGTGGAGTAGACTTACCTTGCAGTGTGTGTGTGTGTGTGTGTGTGTGTGTGTGTGTGTGTGTGTGTGTGTGTGTGTGTGTGTGTATGTGTGTGTGTGTGATTGCTGTAACTAGGGAATGAACAGATATTGAAGACAACTTTCCAAATAATGTCATGTGGAATCCGAGAGGCTCTCTATTCATACCTATAGCTGGATAAACTATTCCATCTACAACATACCCAATAAATGTTGTCTAGCCTTTTTTTGAACTCTTGTGATGATCACTCCCTTCCTCTTTCCCAGGCTTCTCATTATGCTTTTGGATAGTTCTAATTGTTAGGAAATTCTTCCTTAAATCAAGCCAAAGTCATTTTCTTTGAAGAGAGAAGTGGGTTCGAAGCCAGATGACAGGGGATTGAAAAGTGAGATGGATATAAGAAGTAATGGAGGTAGTGAGTATAGGCAGCTCTTTTTGGGAATTTGACTCTGAAAGGGAGAAGAGATTGAGGGAATGGAAGGCCAATGAAGTTATTTTGTTTGTTTGTCTTAAGGATTGGAAGACACATGGACACTTTTGTAGGATGAGGAGAGTTTTAAAAATGAGAGAGGGAGAGAAGAAATGATTAAGATGTTAGCTATTTGATAGAACTTAAAGCAAAGGAAGAGAGAATGGAGGATAATGAAGAAGGGTGTGACTTTCTTCAGGAAATGTGCTACCTATATTTTATTTGTATATAGACAATTGAGGTTAAGGGCTTTTTTGATGGCTTTTTTCTTTGATTTTTTTTTCTTTCTGTGTATTTCTGGGGAACCCTACTACTATTTATCCTACATTGAAGCTAGTCTCTGTCGTAGCTATAGTTGGTGGATAAAGAGAAGCAGTTTTCCCTGTCCTTCTCTTTTCAGTTTAAAGCTCCTTTGGTTAAGATTTTTAAGACTTCATGCAAATAACAGCCCTTGTGAGGTAAACTCCATTCCTTGTTAGGGGCCCATTATTCCTTTATTTTAAGTTGTAGCCTGTAAGTATGTATATCTCTTGCATATTACAATCTTTTATTAGGCTACATTAGACTTTGTGCTTTGCTAAAGACTATCAATTGAAATTAGTCTCTGTTAGGAAATGCAGAAATAGGAGAAATTCAAGTGTATGTAATTTAGACATATTTTCTCTTTTGGGGAGGTTAGTATGCACTTTACGGTGAGACCTCAAGTGATAGAATGGAATTATTATTCTTGGCTAAAATGTGAATGTGGATTTATTAATAGTTCCTCATTCGGCTTTTAATTATGCATTATACTTAAGCATAAAATTTAGACATCTTAAAATGTCCTTTAGGGGTACTACTCTGTTGTTTTAACATTAGTCTTAATAAATTAAATGTAGGTTTATTATCCCAAGCAGTGATTTCTGACAGAATTTCACAATCTCATGAATGTGATGTCCTAAATCTCTCTTTGTGGTGAATTGCAAAAATTATGTCTTAAAAGCAAAATCCAGGGGGTGGCAGGAGAGAGCCATATGAAGTGAATAACGTGAGGATTATATGTACTGTGTTTATTAAAGTTTAGTAAGAAAGATGTGACTTCGGAGTGATGATTTAGTGATTGTTACTAGTTTATTTTTTAAAGTTAATGTACTTTTTAGGTTCGTCAGAAGCCCTCAAACACTGAGGATTTCATCGAGGACATTGTGAAGCTCATTAATGGGAGATACAAAGGACAGTCTGGTAATATAGGAAAAATAACAACTTTGAAGACTTAGAAATGCCTTCCCTGTAAAAAGTGGTAACTGAAGTTGGTTGTTTACTAATTGGAAATTTAATACATTGTAATTTTTGACATAATTTTTTTTTGCAAACTTAGAATGTGATTGTGTAGTTTTACCCAGCTCAGTCATAGACTTTATTTATTTATTTATTTATTTTTTGTTTGACTTTTTTTTTGGGGGGGGTTGTTAGGCAGTGAGGTTAAGTGACTTGCCCTGAGTCACACAGCTAGTAAGTGTTATGTGGCTGAGCCTGGATTTGAACTCAGGTTGTCCTGACTTCAGGGCCAGTGCTCTAGCCACTGTGCCACCTAGCTGTCCTTTAGTCATAGATTTTAGAAAAACTATACAAAATTGTTTGGATACATCTTTTGTTTGTAGTAAAATTAGTTTCAGCTAGTTCATCTGGTTTCCTTATGTGAATTATAGTTAACAAACATTTATTGAACAGGTATTACATGTATATTTCCTGTGCTAGGAAAAGATGATAAAAATGTTTAAGATAGTCCATATTCTCAGAGGACTTAGTCAAATTTCAGAAACAGAATGTAACCATAAAAAGATAAAAAGCAATACAGAATAGTTTTTTTGACTGCCAAATGAATTGTATTGAAGAACACTACAATAATTCTGAGAAGAAAGTGGTCCTTGTGCTAGAACTTAAATAAAATCTAGAACTTATTATTTAGAGGGCAAAGATAAATCTAAAGTATGGAACAGAAAGCAGAGACCAGAAGGAGCAATACCAGTTAGACTACTATAATAGTTGTATAAGGATATGAGTTGTATGGGCCTGGATGGAGGTGGTAGTAGAGAGAGATGGAAGAGGAAGACTTGAACCTGAATGGGGCCAGTGATAGTAAGGGTGTGTATGAGAATGTTGGCTTCCAATGGAGGGGAAGCATTCCATGTATTTTATGCTTGGTGTAAAGTTTTCCACAACTTTGGTTATTCCATATTAATAATGTACCTTTTTTACACCAGGAATTAAAAGTCTATTCCTTCTTATTCCAAATACTTCATTTGTATGTGGTCCAAAATTTCAGTTATCCATTACACTAATTTCTTCTGTTATATTCAGCATATGGCTGATACAGTTTTAGCTTTTAGGAGCTCAGTAATGAGAAAAAGGTAAATAAAACAGACTCAATTCTCCTGTTTTGGATGAGTGAAATTGAGAGCTTATTTTTAAACATGAAAACAGTATAGCTTTGTGTGTCTCCATAGTTTTCCTTTCGCTGATGTATAGTTTTAATTTGTTAGGATCTTTTGAAAATTTCCTCTTAACAAAATTGCTTTTTTTGCAGGCAAACAGGCATTTGTATTTAAAAAATTTGCATTTTTATACAGGGATCATATATTGTTTTTCCCAAAAGGACTCTGAACAAGTCACAGTTAGTTTACAGAAACTGGGAATTCAAGCAGGTGCTTACCATGCAAATATGGAATCAAAAGACAAGACTGAAGTTCATAAAAAATGGTCAACAAATAAAATTCAGGTTAAGTATATATTTATCAGTGGAAATATACATGGACTTTGAAAATAATCACAATTTTAATAATGATAAATTGTTGGGAATATTTCAGGTAGTAGTGGCAACAGTTGCATTTGGAATGGGAATTGATAAGCCAGATGTGAGATTTGTTATTCATCATTCAATGAGCAAGTCTATGGAGAATTATTACCAAGAGAGTGGACGTGCAGGTATCATTAAATATGTATATCTAAAAGCTAAACACTTTATGTGCAGAGCATTGTGCTTAATGTAGATATAGTCTATGCCAAAACATTTTTATTACTAGTCTTTAATTCTTAATTCAAGAGAGAATTAAAAAATGTTTTCTTGGGTAGTTTTATATCCAGGGTTATTTGGAAATACAGCAAATTTCAGTATATGTATTTGGTTATTGTCATATTTTTGTATTTATAAATTCCTGCATCCTTAATTTGCTAAGAAAATTTGTTTTACTATCCTTTCCTGTCTTGTTTTTAGCTATTAGTTTGGTGTGTCACATTACTGGATTAGTTTAGACTTTAGATTTAACAGTGTCACATATTGAATAGACATTTTATTTATTTGATAATTATGTAGATCACCTATCACATATATTATGGGAGATTTTTAGCTTTTCAATTCTCCATTCCATAAAAGGTTGCCAGTTTTCTTTCATTAACATTTTTTTTTATGTTTGGTCTAAAACCAATTGTGTTTAATTCGGTATTAAGAGTAACATTTCTATCATAGGTCGAGATGACCTGAAAGCTGACTGTATTTTATACTCTGGTTTTGGAGACATATTCAGAATAAGTTCAATGGTGGTAATGGAAAATGTAGGTCAACAAAAACTTTATGAAATGGTGTCATACTGCCATAATATACACAAGTAAGTTTTATTTTTACATTTATGTATATATTTTATAACTTATTAGTTAAAATCAGTCATTTACTCAATTATCATTTAATACGTGTCAGACTCTTTGGGGGCTCTAAGTATAAAAAGACAAAAATGAAACGATTCCTGCCCTTAGGAGCTTACAAACCATCAAACAATTCTATAATTTAAAAAGTTTTAATGTAACTTTTAAAAAAGAATTGTATACATATGAATGAAATTGTCCAGTGAGATAGACTGTAAAGTGGAAAGCACTATCCAATATATGTGAATATATATGTGAAGGAATAAATTAATGGAGCTTTTAAAGTAGTTCTTTTTTTGCCTCCTAACATGTGTGATGCTTAACAGCTGTAGGGATATGTCTTAACTTGTATTCCAGTTGGCCTTACTTTTGTATTTGTTTTCCTATTTCCATTGTGTGAACATTAAAGCAAACATTGTTTGGTCCCTTTATTACCTGTCTTACAGCTCATCATTCTTTCTGTATACTACTCAGACAATTGATATTAACAGTGCTGTCCTATGAATCATTCTGGAATTGTCTAGAAGGAACTATAGGCAGTGCATTTTTGTGCAATGTCTTAACCTACCTAGTACTCAGTTGTGTTTGCTGCCCGAAAATCTGCTTCAAGTTTCACCATAATTTAGGGCTAAGAATTCTTCCATAGAATTGGAATGATGGCCGAACTGAGGCACATAAATTCAAAAAACTTTTTTAATTTAGGGAAGCATGTCTAGGTCTATACTATGCAAAAAATTAGCTTCCACTTGATTGCTGAGCTCATCATATTTGCTGTCACTTATGCTAACACAGCAACCCTGTTTTAAGTTTAACCATATTAAATTGTAAATGAACTGAAAAAGACCTGAAAATATTTGGTTACTTTTCTGAGTTTTATTTAAATAAAACAAGTTTTTCCATTAGTTAGAATTGCAGATGTGTTTATAAACAACTACAGCAAACTCCTGAACTGAGTAATTTTGTGTCAAATATATACAAGATTGATATACAAGATTGAATTTTTGTTATTCCATAGGAGGCTTTTTCCTGCTGCATATAATATTCTAAGATAGGAAGAGCGAAATTTTTTTTAGAGTTTAAGTGGTTCCAATAAATCATTGTTGTTGTTTAGTCGTGTCCAACTCTTCGTGATCCCATTGGGGTTTTCTTGGCAAAGATACTGGAGTGGTTGGCAATTTCTTTCTGCTGCTCATTTTAAAGATGAGGAAACTGAGGCAAATGGGGGTAAGTGACTTGTCCTGGGTCACACAGCTAATGGCTGAGGCTGAATTTGAACTCAGATCTTCTTGACTCCAGGCTTGGCACTCTATCCATTGTACCACCTAGCTACCCTCCTTGCTACCTCCCCTCCCCCTAATAAATTATACCTGAGGTATTAAAACTCAATTGTTGACATCAGAGGTTTGCAAAAAAAAAAAAAATAATATTTTTTTTCTGATCATCACTTCATTTCCCTGGGCCTTAAGTTTCCTAGTAAAGTGCTATATTATATTCCCCCAGGAGAATTTGACCTCTTTAAGGTCAAACTGTCTTTGTTTTTGTATCCTCAGTGCTTAGCATAGTGCATAGCATATAGAGCCACTTAATAAATGCTTTTTGAATATATTATTTTATTATGATGCAAATTTAAAACAAAAGATGTTTTAAAATTTATCACCTTACACTTTGAAATGTTTGCTTAGAGATCTTCATTAAGCTACTGGCTAATGTTTATCAATTATATTTCTATTGTTTTTAGATGTCGTCGTATGCTGATAGCTCAACATTTTGATGAAGTGTGGAATTCAGCAGCTTGCAACAAAATGTGTGATAACTGCTGTAAAGACATTTGTGAGTTCATTGTGGCTTTATTTTTAATTGTAATGTGATTTGAGATTGGGACTGCATACAACAAATGCATCTAGAACATGAAGACCTTAGAGTGTGATCTAATAATCAAAGGGGGAGTTTTGCTCTGAAAAATTCTGTAGTAGGCAAAAAGAAGGTTTTAAATAAAGTTGAAGAAGATATCATTGATAAAGATTTTAGGAAACTGATGCCTATGGTTAATGTCCTTCCTTCTAAAATTGCATTTGCCATAGGAGACAGTAAACTTGAGCATCTTCAGATATATTTTAAGAAAAGTTATATAAAAAATGGGACTAACACATAGGCATGGTGGTTATCACTTACTAACCATCTGCAGCCATTGAATAGGAGGGGCAAAAATAGATAAAAACTGTAGTGAGCCCATTCCAATCAATTACCAATATATTTGTAAGCCAATACTTCAGATATTTTTATAGTTGTTCTAATATTTATTCACTCTGTATGGATATCTCTTCCTTTGTAGCATTTGAAAAGAAGAATGTAACTGAGTATTGCAGAGATTTAATCAAGATATTGAAACAAGCTGAAAAACTAAATGAAAAGCTAACACCATTGAAACTTTTTGATGCCTGGATGGGAAAGGGTGTAGCAAAATTGAGAGTATCTGATGTTGTTTCCCCTAAACTTCCACGTGATGAATTGGAGAAAATTATTGCTCACTTCATCCTACAACAATATCTTAAGTATAAAACAAACTCAGTTTTTTTTAATCTTCTTAAAGTTAAGATGTTATGAAAAGTTACTTGATGAACAAATTTAAAATATTTATATGAACTTGATTCTTATTTCTGAAAAAACTTCTTCAGAGATTTTAAAAATCATTACATTAAATGTTACCTTTAAAAAGCGTTTGTCATATGATGCTTTCAAACATATTTATTACTTTTGTGATTTATTCAAATGTCTTGATTGTGGACTTTTTCTTCCACAGAGAAGACTTCAGTTTTACAGCATATGCTACTATTTCATATTTGAAAGTAGGCCCTAAAGCTCATCTTCTGAACAATGAGGAACATATAATTACCATGAAAGTAAAGAAAGACATGAAGGGTTCTTTCAAGGTACTGTAAACAAACTGTTAAAATTCTTATTGTTTATTAAGAAAATAGATTCCTTTTAACATAGGACTTATTTATTTTAAGCTCTAGAATGCCAGAGAACATTTCTTACGTCTCTCCCAGAACTTAGTCCAGTGCTAAGTAAAGATTTAATTTTACCTTATTAACAAAGTACTGTTTGAGGCTTAGAAGACAAAATTTCATTTGAAAAAGATAATAATAGCCCATGGTTTTTGCTTAAGTTACATGGATGCTTGCAGGGGAAAACCTATTTTAGCTTACTGTAGAGCTGCTGAGTAACATAACTCCCTAGTACCAGTCAATGGTCCATGTATGTTTTAGATTTCTTTGCTACCTCCGAATAACATAATCCCAAAACGTACTGGTAGTAAGATGAGGATAGCTGAGTGGCACTTATGTAACTGTGATGCTTAATAACAAAGGCTCTTTAAATACCCTTATACTAGCTTGCTTTGACAGTGGTAACATACTAATGATGCAAAAGGATTCATTATTATAAATTATCTAACTATAGTTTTTATAAGGTAAAACAACTGAATTTTTACGAGCATTATTTTTTGGATTTACAGGTTGAATTGCCTCAGGTTTCTAATTCTGAAGCAGAAAGAAAGATAGAAGAAAAATATTTGGGTAACTTCCAGAATACGGATGTAAAGAAGCGTGGAAGTGTGCTTAAACAGCCTCATTCAGAGGGTACGAAGACAAAGAAAAGGAAGCTGGATAACTCAGTCATTGACTAAATTTTCCAAAAGAAGCAAATATGTACTCACCTCAACAAAAGATTAATTTTTGAATTGTTTCCTTTTATGTACATGGAACTACATTTTCAGAATCTTAAGCAGTTTTTGGATGAACAGTTTTTATACTTTTTGAAATATTTCTGATTTAAGATTACGAACCACTTGATTTAGAAAACAGAAAACTATCCAATAAAATGAAATACCAAAAAAAGTAAAATTTTTAGAACATCATTGAATGTTCTGAATATATAAGATTTACTGAACTGCCATAGCTGGTACTATTATTATACAGCCTATATTCTTCATAACACACTATAGGTGGATTAAAATCAGTGTAGTGGCAGAAAATGCACTGGCTTTGGAGTCAGAGAACCTGGACACAAATGCCACCTCTTTTGCTGACTACCTGTATGAGCTTGAGCAAGTCATTTAAACTTCCACTAGTCTCTCACTTCCCCCATCTGTAAAATGAAGGGAGGTTCAACCAGATTAGTGGCGTCATGCTCAAACAGAAATAGGGGCCACTAAACTGTATATAAAGATATCTGAAGGTACATATTGACTTAGAAAACCACCTATTAACATTATGCTTTATTATATTTTTATTATTTTGTTAAACATTTCCCAACTACATTTTAATCTGGTTTGGACCACATGCTTTTTTCCCCCTTATTCACAAACTCAAAGATGATAAATATGCCTCATAATATCAAGAGGCACCAGAGCTTTTGTTGCTGTTCAGTTATAGGTGAAAACACAAAAGAGCTCCATTATGACCTACAGCAGCTGAAGTAAAAGTTATTTGTTTAGAAACTTTAAAATTGCACTACTTAAAATAACATTTCTTGCTAATTAAGTTTGGAAGATTCTTGTTTTCATACAAGCACCCTTGTGAAAGCCTTTCAGATAGTCTCAGCATTTAAACTGAATTTTTTTCTTAAAGCAACTCCTTTATAACAACAATAGTTTTTTGAACATATTATCCAATAAACTAAATGGCTGATAAATATTTGAGCAATCATGATGTCCAAAGTATCAAAGCATGTCACAGTTTTTTAAATATATCAACTAATAAACTAAATTGCTGACAAATATTTGAGTAGTCATGATGTTCAAAGTATTGCTGTATAAAGGAACTAATCACATAAGGGCTTCTAGCTTAATGGAGGTGAAACAAATAGATTATTTAGTTAAATGTAAGTAATATCTGTTATTTCCCTAAAAGGCATGGCTACAAGTTCTAAATGTCATGAATTTCTTAAGAAATTCAAAAGTAAAATGAGAAGAGTGATAAATTGCTGAAAGGATATATGATTACTGAGTGAATGTGCATTGCTGGAACGATGTCCTGATTCTCAAAGAAGAAAAGAGATCAGAGTTTGCAAACTAGAGGCCAGTAAGCTAGTCTTCAATATTGGCAAAAAAAAAATCCCCCCCAAAACCAAAAACCTAGAGTATTATTATTATTATTATTAACGAGGTACAGCTAGGTGGTGCAGTGGATGGAGCACTGGGCTTAGAATCGAGAAGACTCATCTTCGTAAATTCAAATCCAGCCTCAGATGCTTTCTAGCTGTGTGATCCTGGGCAAGTCACTTAACTCTATTTGCCTTAGTTTCCTCATCTGTGAACTCAGCTGACAAAGAAATGGCAAATCACTCAAGGATCTTTGCCAATAAAAGCCCAAATGGGGTCACAGAGAGTCAGGACTAAAACAGATGAACAAAATATTACTAAAGAGAAGGTCAGTGAGCATCTAGCAAATTATCACTAAGGGCCAATATGGCTTCATCAAGAATAGATCATGCCAGATATGACCATTTTCTGTTTCGATGGAATTACTGTAAATGCATAGACTCTATCTAGAATTTTAGAAAAGTCTGTGAGAAAGTCTTATGTTATTCTTAGGGACAAGGTGGAGAGATATAAGCTAGACAATAATTCAATGAAGTGGATAGAGAACTGGCTGAATGGCTGGATCCAGAATTGTCATTAATGGTTCCATGTCAGCTTGCAAGAAAGAATCGAATGAAGTGAGTGCCCCAGCAATCTGCTTGGACCCATGTTGTTCAACCTTTTTTTAATCAGTGACCTGAATAAAGGTACAGATTGTACATCTATCATTTCTGAGTGATATGATTCAAAAAATCTTCAACAGGCTACAAACTGAATAAACATACACATTTTAAAAGATCAATTTCACATGTACGATATAGCAGAGTTCATGTGCAAAAGAGCTATGGGTTTTAGTGGGCTGGTAACTCAATGTGAGTCAACAGATTGATATATTAGCTGAAAAAGTTATCTTTGGCTGCATTGAGAGACAGTGTAGTAGATGATTAGGGAGGCTGTAGTTTTGCTGTACTCTGCCTTGGTCAATTAGCCAATTATTAAACATTTATTAAATGCCTACTATGCATCAGACACTGGGGATAAATTCCCTGCCTGTAGGGTGCTTATATTTTATTAGGGGGGATGATATATACATAAATATGTTCAAAATGAACAAAATGGGGGGGCATGGAGGGAGGCAATGAGCAGCTGAGAGAATCAGGAAAGGCCTTCAGTTAAAGGGGGCACCTGAGGTGAGCTTTGAAACTAAGGATTCCAAGAAGTGACTGAGAGAATGCATTCCAGGCATGGGGGACAGTGTATAAATGCATAGAGATGGGAGTGCCAGATGTGAAGAATAGCAAGACTGAACTGCAGAAGGTGTGAAGGGGAGTAAATAAGGAAAAGAAAGTTGGTCAAATACCTAGAATATTTGCTCTGTATTCAGCTATAGAGGGCTCAAAGAAGAGTGACTAAAGACAGTAGAGCTTTGAAACTATAGGAAGATCAGATTTAGAGAAGAACATGATTGCTTTCTTCAAGTGTCACAAAGATGAGGCATTAGACTTGTTTTGCTGGGACCAATTAGGAATATGGACAGAACTAGGAATAAATATGTAGAAGTGGCCAATTTAAGCTTAATGTAAGAAAAAAACAACTTCCTAACAATTAAAGCCATCTTAAAGTGAAACAGGCTATCTTGGAAGGTATAGTTTCTCTTCTTGCTCATCCTGCCTTCCCACCCTTCAACCAAATATTCAAGCCAAAGCTAGATGACCAGTTGTTGAGTATGAATATAGAGGGGGTAGTCTTGTTCAGGTAGAGGTTTGCCTAGATTGCCTTTATGGTCCTTTCTTTAGGGGAACCTAACAGTCAATGAAATGTAACATACATATTTCCAAACTATATTATGTGTTCAAGTTGATCAGTAATATAGTATAAAAACACAAAAATTAGTTGGGCATGCTTATTGATATTTTAAATTAATTTCACATCTTTCCATATAAATATTCATCATTAAGACCTCTGCATAGTTAATTTCAGCATAATGTTTATCATCTAAGTTGCTACAATGATTCAACTTTCCGCCTTGACTTGAGATTCTTCTTATTTCCAGTGGCTTACATATTTTTTAGTCGAAATAGTCTTCTATATCAATATCTGGATCTAGCAAATCCTCTCCATATGCTGAAAGGTTCATCTGGTTTAAAATCAAATTTTCAAATGTTTCTTCCAAGTCTGTTTCACCAATAAGAATGGCTCCCATCATCCGTCCGTTTTGCATGACCACTTTAACATATTCTTGTCCTTTGGTACATCTCAACATTAATTCGTAATCTAAACCTAAGCCTTGGGCATTGTACTTTCCCAATAATATAACCTGAAAAGAGAAATAAAGGTTATTTCAATGGGTACTCAAATTTTTAAAAAATTGTCTTAGTTGAAGAAAACTACATTATTAGCAAAAATTAGAAAAAAATGTATGAAATTCACTGAAAATCCTTAGCATTAGATGTGGGATTTGAAATCCAGTCCTTTGACTTCAAAGCTGGGTCTCTTTCTACTGCAAAGGGTATATATCTGTCCATCTTCAAAAAATGAAGAATAAAAGAAGTGCTAAAGGACAGGAAAGGTAAAACTGTACAATTGACAGTTTTAAAAAAGGGAGAGGGGTGAATCTTTTTTTGTTTTTAGGGTTTTTTTCTTCTTTTTAGGCAATTGAGGTTAAGTGACTTGCCCAGGGTCACACAGCTAGCAAGTGTCAAGTATTTGGTCTGAGGTCGGATTTGAACTCAGGTCCTCCTGACTTCAGGGCCGGTGCCCTACCCACTGCGCCACCTAGCTGCCCCGAGACGGGTGAATCTTAAAACCACAGGCCAAGGAATTCCACAGTGTGTTATTTAAAGACAACAGTTTGTCACAAAGGAGGTTTCAATTCTGAGAAAGGAAGGGGATCAGGGAAGTAGTATATCCAAAAATGCCTTATGAAAAGACAAAAAAAAGCATTAGTAAAATGAATTTTGAAGCAAAAACTTAACATGAGCTTGGGCTACTATCAACAGACGCACAGCATCTTGAACAAGAGGTGATATAGCCCTGCTTAAAGCACATATGTAATACTCTTTAATTCTGGGCACCACAGTTTAGGAAAGACATAACAAACTGAAACACTATTAGACCTGGGCAAGCAGTATGGTAAAGGACTAGTGACAATGCCAGAGGGAGATTCGGTTGAAGGAAATGTAGTTATTTGACCTAGAGTAGAAGAGATTTAAGAGGGACGTGATAATGGTCTTTCAAGTATTTGAAGGGCTATTGTATAGATTAGGTTAAATGTATTCTCTTTGAACCCAGAGAAACAGACTTAGGAAAAACAGGTAGTAGTCTTAGATTAGAGCCTTCCAAAAATGAAATGGGGTGGTTTTGAAACTAAGTTCCCAATCATAGTAAGTCTACAAGAAGAGGGGAGATACCACTCCTCAGGAATGCTATACAAAGAATTACTGTGTTCAGGGAGAGGTTGGTGTATAGGTGAATTCTGAAGTCTCTTCCAACTTAAGAGTTTGAGGTTAATTTTAGTTTAAATTTAGAAGTAGACAAATATTATTTAAATGAGTGAAAAGTCAGATATCAACATTTTGTGTGCAAGAAATATGCCGTATTTGACAACTGATTATAGTACAAGATCTTTTACCTTATAGTTAAAAAATTTTGTTACATGAGCAAAAAGTTCAAAACTGAAATCCATGTCAATAGAGTCTCCCAGAGTATCTGCAGCCATGCATTTTGCGGCATAGTTTCCCATCTGTCTAGCCTGAGTCCACAGTCTCATCTGAAAGTGGTAGAATTATATTTTTAAAAATTTTGCATATAGTACAGTTTATGATAGTGCTTACCACATTACCGGTTTACATTATCCATACACACACACACACACACACACACACACACACACACACACACACACACACACCCTTATATAAAATTCCCTTTAAGGAACTAAACATAGAACCATAGTTCTCACGAAATGAAATTGACAAAATTGAATTGCAATTGCTTTGACAAATTAGAAAACAAACAAAATGATTTTGATAAATGGTACCTCAGTTCAAAGTTTGCTGCATTGGAAAGAATCTTTGAATTTAAGAAAATTAAATATTGAAATACACTGATTTTGTTATAAGAAGAAGTAGGGTGTAGTGGACAAAGAGCTAGCTTTGAACCCAGGAAGCACTGGGTTTCAGATCCTGTTTCTGATACTAGCTGTGTGACCATGGACAAATCTCTTAACCTCTCGGTGCTCACAGTTAACTCTATAAGTTTCATTGGTGCTGATCTTCATCAGAAGAAGAAATTCCATACCAGGGGTTCCCTACACCAAAGAAAAAGCACAGATCCAGACCCTGACACCCCTCTCACCATCCTCTGGGAAAAAAAGGGCAAAATTTATACTTGACATGATACTAAGAATATACTTAACATAACCTGGCTTGTATACATGCTTTAAATAATGTTGGCTGAAGAACTTTTTTCCCCATTGCTGCTACTTAATATTTCCCTCCTCACCAGGTCCAAGTAGGGTCAAGACCAAGATCAGCCTGGTGAGGACAAAGGTTGAAAATAAACCACTATTACCATTCTTGTCTCAATGACATTTCTGAGTCCCTAACCCAAATGCCTGTAAAAAAATTGACTTAGCCTGAGTCTGAGGGTTTTTTAAAAATACAGATTAATCTTCAGTCCTTTGAATAAAAGAAACTAATATTCTTTGATAAAGTCTAAGTGGAAAAAACTTAACACACGAGGTAATTTTTTCATTCTTTATTACAGTAGTAAATATTCTAACACCTTGAAAGGGCTGTGTGTTTCAGAGACAGGAGTGTAAAGAGAAAAAGTGTGATTGTGTTCTGCTCCAAGAGGGCCAAGGAAGTAAAGAAACTCCTCTTGGAAACAACAGGTGGTAGCAGTAGGAAGTGAACTAGATGATCTCTAAAGCTGACAAAAGGGAAAAAAAAAGATCACTAAGGAGCCAACCTCGCTGCATTCCTGACATGATATTGGTAAGAAGCCGTATACTATACACGCCTCTGTGGAAGGTCTTTAGAGCCATCATTGCCTGGACCTGGGGAGTTCCCAATGAAGCAAAGGGAAATAGGTTCCTAGAGTTCTAAATTATAATTCTTATTAACAATCTCATAAAAATGTTACACACAATGGTTAGCTTTAGTATTGGTAAGATAACTACTCTTAAGTCCTACTTCAATGCCTCACTGTAGTATAAAAGTGACCCTGGGTTCTCACAGCTTATGCCATAAGTTCTGGAAGGTCTTCTGGTGATGCTGTAAAAGTTTCAAAGGTACACCTAATGATGAAGTGTCATCTAAGGAAATGGGGAGAAGGGTCAATAACAGGTTAGCCTAAGGGTGGTACATTTTTTGGCCATTACAACTCTCAAGAAAGATTATTAAAGCACAGAAGGGTTGAGATTTGTGTCTATGAAGTGAACACATATCAAAGAAATCACAGATTCTTGAAGCATTAAAGGAATCGGTTCTGGCACACCAAGGGCTATTAAATACATATTTATGAAACTGACCTGAGAACCTAATTCAAATTTATAATATTTTTTCTATTGAAAAACATGCAATCCTAGCATGACAAAAGAAATTGGTTTATAAATGTAATGGAATGTTATTGTGCAGTTAGAAATGACAAATTTCAAGAATTCTGATAAACACAGGATGATCTAGACGAACTAATGAAGAGAAGCTGGGAATTAATAACTCAGAATGTACATACATTGAGATGCACTGAGTGCATCAAATATTTTGGTCTGTTTTCTTTGTTACAACAAATCTTTTTTAAAAATGCACCCCCATTTTCTGAGGGGGAAAACACCTTTTGAAAAATAATTCTTTCCTAAACTGAGGATTATCAGATATGCTGATATGATTATCAACCTTACTTTACTAAATCTGTAGAAGTAGAAGCTTTATCTTTTATATGTGTGTGTGTGTGTGTGTATGTATGTGTGAGAGAGAGAGAGAGAGAGAGAGAGAGAGAGAGAGTGTGTGTGTGTGTGTGTGAGAGAGAGAGAGAGAGACAGAGAGAGAGAGAGACAGAGAGAGAGAGAGAGAGAGAGAGAGAGAGAGAGAGAGAGAGAGAGAGAGAGAGTGTCAGAGAGAAACAGAGGGAGAAAAGAGACAGAGACAGACAAACCTTTCTTATCATGGACACGTCACTGAATCTCTGAGCCTCAGTTTCCTTATTTATAAAATAGGGATAGTGATACTTACGTTACCTTCCTCACAGAGTTGTAGCAAGGATGACTGAAATTATTTTAATTGTAGAGTGCTATATATTAAATTTTATAATTTTGCTTAACTAGTATGAGTAACATTCACTTTAAGGAAAATGTTCCAACAAAGTTATTCTCAGTATTTTTTCCCTGGTTATAAAACCAAATGGTGTATTCTCTAGTAAAAAAACAAAACAAACAAACAAACAAACAAAAAAACCTCCCTAGTAAAAATCTGTTGAAAATGTTTATTTCAGAAAGGATTATCGGGACGGTCAGCTCCACAGAAATTTTGGAATTAACTTTTCCTTGGCAAAACTTTTAGTCCTTTTCCCTGTTGTAGAATTTTCTACCATCTTGACACGCCATAAAAATGTCAACTATATCTTAGAATCCCTTCACTAGACATTCACACTACCCCAAACTTTGCTCTTCTCTTTGTTAAATTATCAATTTTTATATGAGTATAAATTTATATTGAAACTCAGCTGAAGAAAATAAAAATGTTTAGGCAAGGAAGCAATTATAGCTATTTTAAGTATGTGAGGGGCTATCATATAGAAGAGGGATTAGACTTGTTTTTCCTCGGCCATAACAGGTAGGAGTAGGAACAACAGGTAGAAACTGCAGAGATATAGATTTCAGCTTGCTAAAAAGTAAAAATTTCCTAACAATGAGGAGTATAAAAGTGTAATGGACTCTTTTAGGAGTCATTATTCCCAGCCTATAGGGACCTTCAAGTAAAAGGTTGCATGACATCTTGTTGGAAATTTGTAGAAAGGATTCTTGTTTTCAGGTTTAAGCTGGTTTAGATTAGTAGGTTTCAAGTTTATTTGGTCTCAGGGACCCTTTACATACATTTTCTTTTTGCTTTTTGGTGAGGCAATTGGGGTTAAGTGATTTGCCCAGGGTCACACAACTACTAAGTGTCAAGTGTCTGAGGCCAGATTTGAACTCAGTTCCTCCTGACTCCAAGGCCAGAGCTCTATCCACTGCCTCTCCTAGATGCCCTGACTTTACATTCTTAAAAATCGCTGAAGACTCCCTAAAGAGCTATTGTTTATGTGGGTGATAGTCTCTATCTAAATTTAACATCTTAGTATTATTACTAAAATAGTTTTGACCTCCTGGACCCCCTGAAAGCATTTCAGGAATCCCCTGGCCTGCAATGAGTCTGGCAGCAAATCACTGAGAAACAAGTAATGCAAATGAATTCTTTAAAATGGCAATAAGTGAAATATGGAACAGAATAAAAGTTATCCAGGGAACAAAATACTTAATCTCCACTTTTGAAAGAGGTTAAAACGTGTTTTGGTCTGGACTTGTAATCACAATGGTGTGAGGAACTCCTGGTGAGAAAAGCCCTCAATGAAGCTCTGAGGCAGGGCTTGAACTCAAGCTTTCCTGGCTCCAAGGCCAGTTCTTATTCCACTATGCCATGCTACAGAAACGAAACAATATTTTACTCTCAAACTTTTAAGTAATAACAAATACAAGGAAAACCACCACAATATTTAAAAAAAAATCTGAAAAAAGACAAAGTGGCCTGTGCCAATATTATGCTTACTTACTAGGATTTAGGCTAATTTCTACTTATTGTTCCGTAAGTTTTTCAATGTTACATCATCCTATGTGGTGCCTTCTGCTTAATCACTTGTAGAAAAATTGATTACGTGGGAACAATAGGTTACATTACATAAAAGTATAACATAGATAGCCTGGCTTACCTGTTGCCAGACTGGACTAGGTTGCCATGATGCAGTACAGATATCACCTGCAGCATATATACTGGGAACTGATGTACGCATATGGTCATCTACTTTCAGGCCACCATCTTCACCTAGCATAAACTAAGAATATGTGCAAATAAATAACAAAAATAAAAAAGATAGCAAAACAAAGCCTTTTCCATGTTAAACTGGAAAAAGCCCAATTTTACTCATTGGTAGACTAAATTTAATGAATAAAAGAAAGCAGGAAAAGGGCTCAGTGCACAAACCTAAACCAACCAACCAACCAACCACTTGAAGAAAGAAAATCTTCAAAGAACTATTTAAAACTCTTTCAGACCAGCGTCCAGCTATCCCAATTTCTTCCTTTGGGGTTTCATCAATCAATCTGAATTGAAAAATGCACCTGTGTAACAGCAATATTGTACAATGACCAACTTAGTTGGTACAATGAATGACTTAGTTATTCACAGCAATACAAAGAGCCAAGGCAATTCTGAAGGACTTATGAAAAATACTATCTACCTCCAGAGAAAGAACTGATGGAGTCTGAATGCAGATCGAACTATTAATTTTACTTTATTTTTTTGCTAACTTTTTTGGTTAGTGTTTTCTTTTTACAACAAGACTGATATGGAAATAAAGTTTTTATGACTGCACATGTATAACCTATATCAAATTGCTTGTGTTCTCAATGTAGAGGGAGGGAAGGCAGAGACAGAATTTGGAACTCAAAATTTAAAAAAAAAATGTTAAAAATTGCTTTTTCATATAACTGGAAAAAACAAAATATTTTTAAAAAAATGAACTTGTGTACTTCTTATAGATTCATAAAATTTAAGTGTTTATCAACTAAAAGACAGGCCCATTTACTACTGCACAGCCAACCTTCAAAATTCATCAGTTGGTTTAGGCTCATGTCAACAACCTAATTTTAAATATCAAGCTGAAGTAAGTGTATTCATGGAATTGATAAATATTTATGATAATCAAGGAACTGACACTACTACAAATCAAGATATAAATAGAGCCAAACTGAAAACTACTACACTGGGTGCTTAATAAAATTTCAAACCCCAATTTTAGGACAAATTCTGCATGTTTTTTGAATTAGACTTCTGCATAAAGATTACTAACATTCTACTTTATCCCAACAAATGACATTTTCAGATAAATACAAAGTGTTTTCTTACATTGTTGCCATCGAGGAAAGGCTTAACATTTGGCATGACCCCAGTTGCACTGACAATAAAATCACAGCCATATATCTTCTCATTGGTCAATTCTACATATACAGGCCACATATCTAAAAACAGTGAAGACCTCAGACTCAGAAAGTATCAACAGGTCAATAAGTATTTACTTAGCACTAAATGGGCCCAGCACCATATGAATATAAAGACAGACATCAAAACAAAATTGCAATCATTAGTTATAAGGCAGATAAACTTTAAAATGCTAATAATTCTTGTTCTTTTAAGAAATAAATTAGGCATAATTCTTCACCTAATTCACAAATCTCACTAATCTAGTTTCAAAAACTTCCCATAAGAGAAGTAAGCATACAATATATATCTACTTCTATTAATAAAAAAAAAACCCAAAAAATTATGGTATTTTCAAACAACTATAAGTTTGATGAGTTTTACGCATACTTCAGTGAGACTAAACTACCCATTTCACAACCTGCTCTTCCTTCAACAACCCATTCAAGTTCTTTGAATCACTCTTTGTCCTATAAAGGAAAAAAATCTTTCAGAGCAAAATGAATTTATGTAAGCCTAGCACTGGCTGAGGGTAATGATTGGAATAGTGGCTGAAGAAATGATTTACAAACTTTGAAAAATGTAATTAATTACAATAATTCAATTTATCTATATTTATATAATGCCTTCATATATATATGTGTGTTTTCAATGGTTTCAAATGCTTAAAAGAAATTATAAAAAAAGTAAAATAGATCATAAATAGTTGTAAACTATTCTTTCAATATTTACCTTTATCCGCTGACGTATTGTGACAATCTCTAGGAAAAGTCAAGGATGTTTTCTTCAGTTGCTTAAATTCTTCCTGGTGATATATGTTTTTAACTTCACACATGGTTTCAATGTGAACTTTGTGGGAAAACTAAAAACAAAAAAAAAGAAACTTGCTAGTTACCATAAAACATAACATTAGGAATAACAATTTATTTGTATTTATAAAGCTTTTAATATTTAACTTATATGAATTTATAGTATATTTATAGTAAGCCCAACATGCAGAAAAGCAAATCCCTTCAATCTAAACGATGATTCAATAAAAAAAAAATTCTTAAATGACTTCACATACAAAACCAAAAATGAAACAGTAATTGCCTTCAAGGTGCTTACATTCTACTGGGGGGAGGGGACAGAGCAAGGGCAAGCACACAAATAAGTTTAGGACAAGGAAACTAGAAGAGGGAGACAGCAGTAAAAACTGAGAGCTCAATGAAAGTTTAGCAGAGGAAGTGTTGCAGTGGTAAGCCTTGAACTCTGAGGCAGACATGAAGCATTCCAGCCATGGACAGGAAAGTGGGGAAGAACAATTTTTGTGAATGCAGAAAGATGAAAAATAGAATGCTGAGTTCAGGTCACAGAGAGGAGTCCAATTTGGGTGGAATGTAGAGTTTGTGAATCAAACAAAGAACATTTTTTAAGCACCTATTACACCAAATACTGAAAAAGAGAGAAGCATTAAGTAAGGTTGGAAAGTTGGAGACAGACTGTGGAAGTACATAAATGAAAACCTAAGGAGTTCCTATTTTATTCTAGAAGTAATGGGAAATGATTGAAAGCTTTTGATCTAAGGAGTTAGATGGTTAGATATGTTTGGATGATTACTTCTGGTAGCTCTGTGGAAGGCAGACTGGAGAGAAGAAAGAATGGAAGCAAAGAAAACAATTAGGAAGCCACTATAGTATTCCATAAGAAAGAGGGTGATCCAGGGTGGTGGCAGAATGAATAGGCATTTGGCACAGGTGATAGAACGCTGGGCCTGGAGTCAGGAAGATATGGGTTCAAATCTGGCCTCACATTTACTGTGCGACCCTGGGTAAGTCACTTAACTCTCTGTTATCTCATCTGTGAAATAAGCTGGAGGAGGAAATGGCAAACCACTCCAGTGTCTTTGCAAAGAAAACCCCAAATGGGCTCACAAACAGTCAGACACAACTGAAGTGACTGAACAACAATAAAGTGGAGAGGAGAGAAGATGAATTAGAGAGATGTTATGGAGATAGACGACAAGTGGACAAGTGATTGGATATAAAGAGCAATAGAGAAACAAAAGTTATGAATCTAGGTGACTGAGGCTGGTGGTACCCTAAAGGCAGCTAGGTGGTAGAGTGGAGAGAGCACAGGAATTAAGGAGATCTGAGTCTGAATTCAACCTAGAACACTTTATTGCGTGACCCTGGGCAAGCCACTTAACCTCTATCTCAGCTTCCTCATCTGTAAAACGGAAATAATAACAGCACCTATCTCCCAGGATTGTTCGTGAGGATAAAATGTAATCTGAAAACTTAAAATCACTGTTATTATTGTTATTGCTTGCCCTAAACTGGCAGGTATTAAGGAGCAAATTTATGGTAATAGATGAGTTCTGCTTTCAGACATGTTGATGCTTATACATAGTCCAAGAGGAGATGCCCATCAGGGAACTGATAACAGGGGACTAGCATTAAGGTGAGATTAGGCCTAGAAATAAAGGTTCGAGTATCATCAAATATCAACATGACACTTAAGACCTCAGAAAAAGATAAGACTATAAAGCAGCATACCACAGTGAATAGTGGCCTTCAAGCCAAGAAGATCAGAATTCAAGTCCAGCCTTTGACACATCCTGTCTGTGTGATCCTGGGCAAGTCCACTGGCTTTACTTGGGTTCTAGTTTGAACCCTTCAACAATTTACTGTATGACCTTAGGCAATTCACTTTAAACTCACAGGGATGGACTTTCCCCATTTTTACAATGAGGGTTAGTTAGAGGATATAATTTTTAACTGTACTATCCCACAGTTCTATGTCTATAATGTACACTTAAAATGGCCTCTGAGAAATTAAAAGAAACAGTTAATGAAAATAGTTTTATACTTATTTTTGGTAGTCTTAGGGAATTGTAGAACTTTTAAAATAAAGAATTTTGCAATTGCATCCTCCAAATACAATCTTATAACCCTTCACATCTCTCCCTCCCAACACAATGACTAATCCTCACACTTTCTTTGCATGCTCTTCAGCTTAATAATGTTCTTCTTAAAATTCGGTTGCTGTTGAGTCATTTCAGTCGTGTCCAACTTTCTGTGACCCTATTTGGGGTTTTCTTGGCAAAGATACTGGAAAGGTTTGCCATTTCCTTCTCCAGCTTATTTTACAGATGAAGAACTGAAGCAAACAGGGTTAAGTGACTTGCCCAGGGTCACACAGCTAGTGTCTAAGGGTGGATTTGAACTTAGGTCCTTCTGACTCCAGGGTCACATTCTATCCACTCTGCTACCTACCTGCCCTTTAAAATATGGTACCCTGAACTAAACACAATATTCTTAATTGTGATCTGCCCAGGATAGTGTACAGCAGATATGGTATCTTCCTAGGCATGGACATCACGTCATTTTAAATGAAGCCTAGGATTTTATTAGGTTTTTTTTTGGCTACCATACTATACGATTGTCTTATTCTGCACTGCTTTTCAGGCATACCTTTGCCATCTTGATCCAACCTACAAGTGTAGGACTTAACAACTATTCCAATTAAGGTATCTAATTAGCTTTGGCTCAATGTTTGTTCTAGTCAAGATTTTTTTGGATCCTGACTCTGTTACTCAATGTTAGCTATCCCTAACAGCTCTGGATAAGCATGCAATCTAGGGCTTTCCCCAAGTAAATTAAGCCTCAGTTTCTTTGTCTGTAAAATGGGGATAATAACGCTTATAGTAATAATGCTGGTAATAAGTCTACATAGGACTTCTATAGATCACATGGGATGCATATAAAATATTTTTGCAAATTTTAAAGTGCTATATAAATGTGTTTATTGTTATTATTCATAAAATGCTAAACAATATAAAGGGCCAAGGGCTGGAAACTTCCTTCTAAAGTGACATGGAATATGCACTCTTTGGGTCTGCCATTCGACCAATGTATGAATGAGAATGCATCCCACTGTACTCTTGAGACTAGCAGTTTCCAAACATTTTTGAATACACACAATTTTACAATTCACAAATATGTGAATGTATACTTACTTATAATTTACAAATGGGTAACTGAATAGGAGGCTACTGTAACAGACCTGGGGAAAGATGATAAGAATCTGAACTGGGGCAGTAAAGGGAAAGGGACAGATACAAGAGAAGTGGGATAATAATAATAATAGTAATAATAACACCTAACATTTATATAATGCTTACTATGTACCAAGCACTATGCTAAAGAGCTTTACAAATACTATCTCATTTGATACAACTACCTTGGGAGGTAGCTGCTATTATGATTCCCATTTTATAGTTGAAGAAACTGAGGCAAACAGAGGTGAAGTGACTTGTCCTAAACCTACATAGTTACTAAGTGTCTGAGACTGGATTTGAACCCAGGACTTTCTAACTCCAGCCCAATCTACTGTACCACCTAGCTATCTCAGTAAGAAATGAAATGATTTGGAAACTAATTGTATATATGGGGTCAAGAGGTGGGCTATATATAAGATATTTTTGCAAATTTTTAAGTGCTACATAAATGTCAGTTGTTATTATTAATAAAAATGGTAAACAACAAAGGGCCAAGGGCTGGAAACTTCCTTTCAAAGTGACATGGAATATGGATTCTTTGAGTCCATGACACCAAAGTTGTGAGCTTGAATGTCTGAAGAGATTATAGTGCCATGGACAGTAATAAGGAAGTCTGAAGGAAGGGAAAGATGATGTAATGAGATCTTCAATCTGAAGCAACCCATACATGTCTGCTCAATTTGTGTCTCACAGAAACAAAAATGAAAGTAAGTTTCTATGCTGAAAGAAATTCCGTTCTACTGAGCATAAACAACATGTACATAAATAAGTAAATACAAAGTAATTTGAAGTTAGGGGGATGGGACAGAGGAGAACACTAACAACTGAGGGGAAATCATCTAACCTAACTCAGGCTTTTTGACTGTGAAGCTAATGTTTCTAATCGTTTAATATAGGGATTCTTCAAGGATCTATCTTTAGGCCTCTTTTCTTCTCTCTACAATATCTCTAGTGGCAATCTCATTCACTCATATAACTTCTGTTACCACTTTTGTGGTAATTTTTATATAATTAACCAATAAGCATTTATTAAATGCCTACTATATCCCAGGCACAAAGGATAAAAGACAAAAATGCAAAGTTCCTAGCCCTAAAGGAGCTTGCATTCTGTCAAAGGTGTAGTGCTTTACTAGGAGAGCACAGAAGGTGATATGGCTGGTCCCAGGGTAGCAAAGCAGGATCCTCTCCTGCCCCCTGCTCTCTACCCCATTACCACTACCCTACAGTTGGGCTATCTCTAGTTGTCCTGATGAATATCTGCCCACTGGACCCAGATGGCTCTGAAGGAGAAAGTAAAGCTGGTACAGCCCTCCCTCACTAAAATCAAAGACAATTGTAAGTCATGTCATCATCTCCCTGATGTCATGGAACTCTTTGAGAATGAAGGTCAAACACAACCTGTAAGTAGTCTGAGCTGTCTGACCCAGCTGGTCCGTTCCAGTTGGGTAACTCAGCTTGTCGTCCCCTCTCCCTTTTTCTCTCTCCTCTTGGGGTTTTACTGGCTAGATTTCTTTCTCAAAGACCAAGCCTTAAACTTAATTCACTCCAGAGCTCAAAGACTGGACAACAATAGGTCCCTGCCCAAGTACCACTTAAATGTTATTTTTTGGGCCCTCCTGGCTCAGAGTGAATGTAAATAGTAACTGTTTCTCTTTTGGCCAGCAACCCTGAGGGTCTTCCTCTCCCAGTTTGATTTTTTTGTTGTGGTTTTTGATTAAAGGGGCCATCCCTAGACTCACTTGTCAAAGAGGCCTATTCACTGAACAGGCTTTGCCTCACTCAAAGTGAGAACCTAAAAGACCTTAGCTTAAAAGGGCCAGGGTCTTCAACTGCATCCTGGGCCATCTCCAGTTGTCCTGATAAATGTCTGCCCACTGGACAGGGATGGCTCTGGAGGAGAAAGTGAGGCTGGTGACCTTCCACAGCACTCCCTTACTCAAATCAAAGGCAATTGCAAGTCATGTCCTTGATGTCATGGTCCTCTCTGAGAATGAAGGAGAAACACAACAACTACCTTACAGGCTCTCATCACTGCTGCCTGGATTACAAACAACAGCTTCTTTACAGCCTTTTTTATTGCCTCTATTCTCCTTCTGCTCCAAACCATCCTTCTCATTCCATCAGGATTATGGTTCTTATACCTAGATCTAGCCATGTCACTCCTCTGCTTAAAAAGCTTTAGAAACCTTCCCAGTAGCTTACCAGGGAAAGTTCAAACTCCTCAGTCTGATGTTCAGAGATTTCCACCTTATCACACAACCCTGTCTATCCTGCCTTAACTCCTGTTATTTGCCTCAATGAACTCAACACTCCACTGCAACTGGACCCTCTCTGCCTCATGGTCACTCTCTTGCAGACGTTGGTCCCCGTGATTACATATATCTAGCATGTCCTTCTTATCTGCTTGCTTAAGTCACCCTTCTCCACTTCTGCACCCCCCTTTGGATGGGTGCAACTCAAATACAGCCTCCTCCATGAAGCCTTTCCTCATCACCAGCTATGGTAAGAGTCCTCCTGCTCAGACTTTACACATATGTTACAGAATTACATGTAATATAACATGTTATAGCTCTATGTGTTTGTGTTTTGTCTCCTTACTACACTATGAGCTTTCTGAAGCCAGGAACTGTGTTGAAGCAAAACTTTATATCTCTCTTGGCTCTCAGCACAGTGCTATAAAACCCAGCAGACACTTAATGAATGCGGATTTTTTTTTGGGGGGGGTAGGGGTGGGAGTTATGGTTAAGTTTAAAAAAATTCAGTTTCATTAAATAAATTATTAAATGTTTTAGTCATCTTTAAATTCATGAAATAATATTAAGAACACTGAGCATATTTTATTTATCTCTATAAGTAAAGAAAAGGGCTTAAAAATAATACACTGGTGAATTTAATTTGATATGAAGATTGCATTAATATACTTGAATAGGCTACCAATGCAATTTGGGCTACCCCTGGACTACTTTTTTTTGTTTGTTTGTAAATTTGTAAATTTTAATTTAAATACAAAATAAGTAAAGAAAAAACAAATTTAAATACTAAAACTAATACAAAATAAGAAAAGAAAAAAAAGCATTGCCATGTGCACAGCAGAATGTGAGAGAATTCAAAATATACAGCAATAAATTTCCATTTCAAAAAAGCCTATGTAATAAAGACTACACATTGTGTTGAGAGCTGTCCATCTTTTGCTTCCTTGTAAGTTTTCTTTTGTTCTCTGCTGTGTACTTTTTACTTTGTTCTTTTTCCCTCCTTCCTCTTCCCCGAACTGCTCTCAAAAGACAATTAGTAACTATTGATTTAGATATGTAGCTACCCAAGGCAGGAGGGACAAATCAAATGCTTTCCTAGATGGTATAACTAGAAAATGACACAGTAACTGTCTTGTGCACTACTTTTAAAGATATTTTGTGTTTTTGTCAATTCAAGGAGATATATAAATTTTGCATTTATAAAAATTAATTAGGTATAGAAACACATACCTCTTTCGTTCCTTTAAGATTTAAACCTTCATGCCAATCAGGTCCCAAGGCACTGCCTAGATTACCAGCATCAGCTATGGCACTTGCTTTCCTTTCACTTTCTGAAAACAAAGAAGTTGGGTCAAAAACCTAAAACCATATACAAGTTGTAAATGCCTTCCTCAATTCTCGTGGCATGTGCCTATGCACCTATGCACCTTCTTCATTTATATTTGTGTGCTACTGAATGCACCTAAAGAAGTCACACAACCATGCTGATTTTGTCAGCTACAAATTTATAAACTAATCTCAACTGAACTATTACTATTGTGACTCAGTCCATTTATTCTTCTCTAATCAAGTCTTTAAACAAACCTCCTACAGACCTGTTCTAAACCTTATCTTCTTTTAACCTTCTTGCACTACTTCATCCCTACTACTCTACTAAGGCTTGCTTCTCTCAAGAAGGGCCCCAGAGCCTACTTTAAGCAGAAAAGAGGTCATTCAAACATAAGCTTCCTCTTCTGCTCTCTTACAAACCTCTAAATCCCTCAAAATTAACCTCTCCTCTTATTCTTTCTTCTTTTGTTGCATCCTCAAATGAAGAGAATCTTTTTCTTTCCAAGGACAACCCCTGTATTTGTGCTCCTAATCGCATCTACTTTGGGAGCAAATATAGTTTGTGGCTTTAAATGCTAGTTACATCTTCTCTAATACCCCCAAAATACTGGGGAAGGAGAAGACAGATTCCTTGTTTGTCACTGACACTTTCAGACCCTCTAAACATTACTAAATGTTCTCTGATTTAAAGTAACTAAATTGTTGCAGATAGAAAGGAAAGGGAAATAACTTAAAAAAATTACCTTCTATTGTATATCTGGTTCTTTTACATGTGATTTTTGCTTCAGATTTTTTAGAAGTGAGCTCTGAGGTCAGGAATTCTGCTGCTCCAGCATCAAAGAAAGCATTCCCAATTGCTTTGTCTTTAATAGCCCAAATCACTTCACAGCCTTCAATTTCATACCTGAAGGAGATATATTGAACTGCATCAGTATAGTTACAAATGAGTTACAATAAGACTATTTAAATCTAAACAACTAACTATTAAACAAGAAACATCTTGACTCAAGATGGAAAAAGAATGTGTAACATGCAACATATATTTAGAATAAAAGGCTCATTGTAGATTTATAAAAGGAACTCATCTGATAGGCCAAAAGAACCCACAACTGATCAATTTTAATGAATATTGGCAAAATTCCATTATAGTGAAAATTTCTACACAGAAGATTCTATGTAAGAAATCTGTTTCCCAGAGGCATTATGGTATAAAACAAAAAGTCACTAAATTTAGGGTTAGAAGACCTTGGTCTGAGTCCTTGTTCTGTTGTTTACTACCTAATGTAACTTTGGGTGAATTGCTTTAAGTCTCTTAGTCTCAGTTTCCTTATGTGAACAATTAGGGGGTTGAATTAGATCTCTAAATTCCATTTTCTCTCTAAATCCATTAATCCCCATTCCTGTGTAGGGCCCACAGTGACGATGTTTTATTTTATTTTTTAAAAACCTGGTTAATATGTAGGTTTATCTTGTAAAATAAATGATTGCCCTAGTAACCTCCACTAAAGTTCTATTCTGATGCCTCACCAGGAGGGGAGAGGCTTGCCAGTGAAGTTCAAGCTCTTAGAGATCTTACACCAAGCTTTGAAGGCTGAAAACACAGACCCAATGACGGACTGTGCTGCAATTTTAGGACCAATCTAACTAAGTTCACAGAAGTTCATCACGAAGCTGGCCACAGGGTGATGAAACAGCTACGGTAACTCTAAAGATTACCTACAAGGGCACAGAGTGGTTGAGAATGCATTAAGAACTCACATGAATAAATACACATCTTTTAAATGGTGAAGGAGGGGAGAAGTAATCTGGTAATAATCATTCCTCTAAGGAACATTCAAGCTTTCCTTATCTAACAGGGTCTCAACTAAAGTCCCTTTGCCAGGATACCATGGTAACATTATATCCAAATACACTCCTAAATCCTCCTCTATCACTCAGATAACAGATCACATGGCCATTTTTTGAAAAGGAAGTCAGAAATAGTAGATGTCCCCTGGGAGAGTTTGTTAGGCTCAAACCTGGGTATGCACCTTAATGAATATCACCTATTGTCCCACTAGCACCCATAAAGCCATGTCCTAGAGACACTCTTGCAACACTTTATCAAGCTTTAGGAATTACAAAACCTCCACTGATGCCTAAGTAGCTTCTGCCCGTGGGAAATTCACTTTCTTGACAAGTAAAAGTAGGAAATGCACCCACAATCAAAATTCTTCACCAAGAATAATGCTGTCTCTTCCTTTAGTTTATTTACTTATTTTTCATTCCAATCACTGATTTAATATTTTATTCCCTCCCCCCAAATACCCGTAAAAACAATTTTCACATTCTTTTTCCCAAATTTTGAGTTCTAAATTCTCTCTCTCCCTTTTCCAGAAGGCAAGCAATTTGACACAGGTTATACATATGTAGGCATGCAAAACATATTTCCATGTAAGTCATGCTGTTCTTCCCTTCATTTCAAGTAGGAAAGGTTCTCAGCACTTCTGGATCTTCCTCAAAGGGGTAGCAGCATTAGTGTAAACACCTGTCTCTTTTCATGCCTTGGGTTATCATGACCAGTTCAGGTACTTACACTGGGTAATTCCAGAAAGATTTATTTTGAGCTTTTATAGTACAAATTCTGACCATCTAAGAAGCATCTCCCATTTACAACACTTTCTATGGAACAAACTGTAATGTCCTGTTTTTACAAAACCAGTTAATAAATAACATTAAATAACATTTATCACAACTAAAATTATATGGGGAGGCACAAGGGAAAGCTGATTTCTTTATTGTTTGTTCTCACACTAACTAGGTCGCTTATTTCAAACAAAATTCCCCCAAATCCCACCAAAACCAAAGTCTTATCATAGAAAAAGATTCAGGAGCTTGGAAGAAAATGATGTATTCTTTTTCAGTTAGGTTCACTAGTCCTTAGTTAAAACATACGTGAGTTTTACAAAGGAGGAATCTAACAGTAATGGGAAAGTAGTGCTTTTGTTTCTAAGATGGTATTAAAGTGATAAAAAGAAAGCTAAATGGTGGGTAGAGATAGAGATAATGGGTAACTATATACTTGTGAAATTATAAAAAAAGTATGCCATTTTGTTTTTTTGTTTTTTTAATATAAATTTATTTTTAGTTTTCAATATTCACTACCACAAGTTTTTCAGTTCCAAATTTCTCACCGCTTCCCCCACCCCAAGATGGTATGCATTCTGAATACCCCTTCCCCTGGTCTGCCTTCTCTTCTATCTCTCCCCCCTCCCTTCTCTTATCCCCTTCCCCTTCTATTTTCCTGTAGAGCAGGATAGACTTCTGTACCCCATTTCTTGTATTTCTTATTTCCCAGTTGCATGTGAAAACATTTTTTTAAATATGTGTTTTTAAAACTTTGAGTTCCAAATTTTCTCCCTTCCTCCCTCCCCACCCACCCTCATTGAAAAGGCAAGCGACTCAATATAGGTTGTACATGTGCAGTTATGCAAAACACTTCCTTAGTAGACATGTTGTGAAAAACTAACTCTATTTCCCTTAATCCTTTCCTGCCCTCACATTTATTCTATTCTTTATTTTGACCCTGTCCCTCCTCAGAAGTATTTGCTTCTGATTACCCTCTTTCCCATTCTGCCCTCCTCTCTATCACCCCCCTGCTCTCTTGTCCCCTTCTCCCCCTATTTTCCTGTAGGGTAAGACAGATTTCCATACCCAACTGAATGTGTATGTTGTTCTCTCCTTAAGCCAAATCCTATGAGAATAAGATTCCCTCATTCCCCCTCACCTTCCTGTTTCCTCTCCACTGTGAGAGACTTTTCTGTTTTTTTTTGTGAGATAATTTACCCCATTCTACCTCTCCCTTTCTTCTTCTCCGAGTATCATCCTCTCTCATCCCTTAATTTATTCTCCAGATATGACCCCTTCATCTTCAACTCACCCTGTGCCTCCTCTATCTATCTATCTATCTATCTATCTATCTATCTATCTATCTATCTATCTATCTATCTATCTATCTATCCATACATACATACAATTTTTTCCCTTCAACTACCCTAATACTGACAAAGTTCTCATGAGTTACAAATATTATCTTTCCATGCAAGAATGTAAACAGTTCAATCTTAATAAGTCTCTTATGATTTCTCTTTCCTGTTTACCTCTTCATGTTCCACTGGAGTCCTGTATTTTGAAAGTCAAATTTTCTGTTTAGCTCTGGTCTTTTCATCAGGAATGCTTGAAAGTCCTCTATTTCACTGAATGACCATTTTTTCCCCTGAAGGATTATACTCAGTTTTGCTTCTACATTAAAGGACTGCAGGGCAAAAGTGATTCTTGGCTGTAATCCTATCTCCTTTGCCCTCCAGAATATTATATTCCATGCCCTGCGGTTTTCCTTGATAATTTCTTGAAAGATGATGTCTAGGCTTTTTTTTTTGATCATGGCTTTCAGATAGTCCAATAATTTTTAAATTCTCTCTCTTGGATCTATTTTCCAGGTCAGTTGTTTTTCCAATGAGATATTTCACATTGTTTTCTAATTTTTCATTCTTTTGGATTTGTTTTACAGTGTCTTGATTTCTCATAAAGTCACTGTCTTCCAATTGCTCAATTCTAATTTTTAAGGAAGTATTTTCTTCAGTAATCTTTTGGACTTCCTTTTCCATTTGGCCAATTTTTCTTTTTAGGGCATTTTTCTCCTCATTGGCTTTTTGGACCTCTTTTGCCATTTGGGTTAGGCTGTTTTTTAAGGTGTTATTTTCTTCAGTATTTTTTTGGGTCTCCTTTAGCAAGCTGTTGACTTGTTTTTCATGATTTTCTTGCATCACTCTCATTTCTCTTCCCAGTTTTTCCTCTGCTTCCCTTACTTGCTTCTCAAAATCCCTTTTGAGCTCTTCCAAGGCCTGGGACTGGTTCATATTTTTCTTGGAGGCTTTGGATGTAGGAGCTTTGATTTTGTTGTCTTCTTGGTTGTATATTTTGATCTTCTTTGTCACCAAAGTAAGATAATATAGTCTGACTCTTTTTGCGCTGCTTGCTCATGATCCTGGCCAATTACTTGAGTTTTAAACTCTTTGTTAAGGTAAGAGTCTGCTTCCAATGTGGAGAGTGTACTGTCCCAAGCTTCAGGGGTTTGTGTAGCTGTTTTCAGAGACACTTGTAGGGACCTGTAAATTTTCAGTTCTTCCAAGATGGCGAGGTGTTTACTCCTTTCCTGGCCTGCGACCACAAGTATTCCTTTCTGTCCCGTAACTGTGAGGAGGGGTTCCTCTCCACAGCCACTACAAGCTCTACCACGCCAGTGCTCCTCCTCACCCCAGCACTGCTGCCCAGAACTGTGACCCAGATCCACACACAGGCAAAGCAAGAGATTCCTGCCTCAACACTGGCAAAAAGATCCCTGCAATCCCCCTCTGATCAGCCACTGGATTCCCCCTCAGTGTGTGGGCCAGAAGCTCGGGAAGCAGCTGCCCCCCCCCCGGCCACGCTTTTGGGGAATGTACCTGAAACCCCGCCTTCCTCTCTGACCACCGACAGAAACAGACTTTTCCCACTGACCTTCTAAGTTGTCTTTGGCATTTGTGGATTGAGGAGTCTGGAAACCTCCACAGCTGCCCGAGATTCAGTCCTCTGGGGCCTGCTCCATGTTTGCTGTGGCCTGCATACCCATGCTGCACTGTGCTGCGCTGTGCTACCAGCCCGGCACGATATACCTTTCTGATCTATCATCAAGGTTGTGTTGGGCTGGAAATTTGTTTCACTCTGTCTTTTTGTGGGTTCTGCTGCTTCAGAATTTGTTTAGAGCCATTTTTTATAAGTAATTGGCGGGGCTTGGGGGAGAGCTCAAGCAAGTCACTGCTTTCACTCTGCCATCTTGGCTCCGTCCCCAAAAGTATGCCATTTTGAAAAGGACACTATTAACCCTCGGAACCTAAAGATATATTCCCTCTTTTTTTCTTGCCTCTATGGGTAACTATGGATAGTTTTTTCCACCACTAAACAAAAATAAAGAAGATGCTATAAGCATTATAGAACTAGTAACAAATGAGGGCAGGAAATTTGTCAGAGTGAAAGAAGAAAAATTAGTGCTGTTAAATGAATGAAAATACTATGAAAAAATATAATCATAATTAAATCACACTAAAATAGGAAGATTTTTAAAGTATATAAAGAATACATGTATACATATATACACACATACATATTTTAATATTAAAAGAAAAAACCTCATTGCTCAGGAGTGTTCCTTCTTCAACTGATCAAAGAAACGCTAACTGGACACAGAACTCTTCTTGATCTCTACCTATGTTACTAGATATTTCCTTATCACTTACCCCTAAACCTTACTATTGGTCTTACTATTGATCTGTTTTGCTATCTCTATACCTTGTAATTTTTTTTATGTCTTGGTTTATTCTATGCCCCAAATAAAGACACGAGTCCTAGATTGTATGTTCCCAATGGACACAGGTTTTACATAAGCTCGTGGGATTGCAGATTTAGATAGAGAACCTTAGAAACCAATTAGTCCAACTCCTTCATTTTACATAAGAGGAAACCAAGGCCTAGAGAAGTCAAATAATTTGCCCAAGGTCTCACAGGTAGTTAAGTGGCAGAGGCAGGATTTGAAATTGCATCCTATGACTATAAACCCAGTAAACTTCCCACCGTACTATTTTATTGTAAGTTTCTTAGAAGAGAACTACATACAATTAACTACTTAATAAATGATTTGGTAAGTCTGACTACTGAACATTTAAGAAACTTTTCACCTTTTCTTAACCTTCAATAAGATTTAACTATTATCTGTTTTTCTTGTGGAGCAGGGCAATAATTTGGAACAAGAGAGGTAACAGTTAACAACATAGGGCTTTAGATGCTGAAAATGCTTTATATTGACTATCTCTTACTTTACAGAGGCTACTGTCTGTTGAGAGGGAAAGACAGTAAACTTTCTGTATTTTTGTACCTTTGGGTATAAATAGTAACACCACAAAAATCTAAAGCAAGTATTATAACACTCCTCTTTACTCTTAGATACCAACTTGCACTGCAAGAACAAAGCACAAGGATAAAGTGAACCAATGTATTTATTAACCAATGCAGAATATCGAGCAATGACCACATTTTTTGAACCCTATATACAACTACGTTGAATTGAAAATAATCCACGTTTATCAAACTTGAGGGGCCTTGCTGCTGAAGATACTATACTTCTGAAAGAACTGTATGAAAACATTAGAGATCTTATGTTCTAGTTCTTATAACATCTGGAAAGAGAAAGTCAAGTACTTACTATCTTTGAAAATTAATAAAAAAAATTTTCAAATATTTTTATCCAGCTAACAGCCTTTTTATGTTCTGGTTTGCTAAAAATCACTTAAAATCCCAGAGCAATTTATTTGTTTATTTATTTATTTATTTAAATTTGAGAGGCAATTGGGGTTAAGTGACTTGCCCAGGGTCACACAGCTAGTACGTGTCAAGTGCATGGTCTGAAACTGGATTTGAACTCAGGTCCTCCTGACTCCCAGGCCGATGCTCTATACACTTTGCCATCTAGCTGCCCCAGCAAAGTTATTTATTAAGAAGCAAAAGGTATACTTACACTAACTCAAGTGCAATGCCCCCATTCCCAACGATTGTTATTCTTTTAGCTTTAGTGAGCTGCTTTTGAAATTCCTGTATTGAAGAGAGAACAATCAGAAATCTTATAGCAGTACTGGGCAATATTTGAAGCAACAGAATACCATAATAATTTTATAGCCAAATGGTTTGTTTAATTTGCAGAGGAGCCCCAGTACTACCCCACCTCTCCATTTTTCGAAACTCCCAAACCACGTGTTCATTTTCTCCTTTAGTTCTCCTTCTTTGAGCTGTTCTTACAGAATTATTGTGAGGCTCAAAACAAGATAATTTATGAAAAGCACTTGGAAAACCTTAAAGCATGATATAAATGTTAGCTATCATCTTATGATATTCCTTGATCTCTTCTATCATATTTATTGTACCTTTTTTAGCGCACTATAATTATCGCAGTTTCTTCTTCCTTATGGCACTCTTAACTAGCCTACATTTTTTACACTTTTTTGACTTTTTTTTTTTTGGTGAAGGCAATTGGGATTAAAAGACTTGCCCAGGGTCACACACCTAGCAAGTAGAAGGTGTCTGAGGTCAGATTTGAACCTGAGACCTTTTTTTTTTTTAAAGACTTTCCCTCTCTCCCTGAATCTAGAAGTGTAGTGGCCACTCATGGGCCCTATCTTAATACAGATTGATTGAAGCTTTAATCTGTTTAGTTTTTCCAACAAAGGCAGGGGGCTCACCATATTAGTGCTAGACTTAATTCACTAATATGACAATGACCTCTCATTTTTTCATACTAGTCAACACTCTCTTGCCTATATTTTAGGAATGATGGACTTGTCATATACTAACTTAATAGGAGAGATCACTATAGTTTAGAATGAACTAGTGGTTCCCACTAATTTTTTTTTTGACATTTTGTGGTCCTGACATGGCACCTTACTTGCTTCAGAATTAGAACTAAAGCACCTGTACCTTGCATCTTCCTTCTAAAAGAAATAAAAAAAATTAACATTGCTGTATGAGTGACCTAAAACATAAACAATGGTTATAACAACTCAAAGAAAGTCCACCAAAATTGTTGTCTACTTTATGACACTAAGACTGAAAAACTGAAGTTGAATTCAGTTTGTGTTTCATTCAGTACTTTGGGCAATTCAGGGTTAGTCTGATAGTTGATTACAGGGCTCAAAACGATATCTCATTTAAGTTAGCTCCAGACCATTTCAACTCTGCCTAAAGGAATGGGATGACTCCTTAGACATTTTAAGAATTTTGAAGGTCAACAGAAACACATTAAATGAATCATATGATTTAGGTAGGAATTGCTGATGTTAGAAAATGATCATATTTTAGGATTTATTTTCTGAGGAAATTTAATAAAATACAGTTCTTAGCTATACTGAAATGAATACCCTTGAAGAAGTGAATTTCTGTATTTTCTCCCTAAAATAATGAGTTCAAAATCTCTTAGAGATGTTTACTTCATGCCTGTCTCCCTTGATAAAACTATTATCATGAAGTTAAAGCACAAAACATTAAAAAAAAGAAAAAAAAATACATTTCAGAGGAAAAGCCAAAAAATATGAAATCAGTCTATAGAAGAAAAGTCCTACGGAAAACACATCAAACAAGTGTATTAAAGATTAAATATATTTATATAAAGATGGTGACCTATGTGTTATCCTCATAATGTCAGGAGAAATTGAGGAAAGCCTCCAGCAAACTGCATACTCTGTAGAAAATTTATGGAAGAACCAAGACAAGACTCACATAGGATGGGCAGGCATCAATAAATTAGCATCTGCACCAATGAAGAGAATATTCAAATTGATGACATCACAGATATGTGAGTATGTTTCATTAATAAAGATAGGTAAATCATTCTTACTTGTGTCCTCTTCTAAATCCTTCATAGGGAGTCCATTCAACATATCAGTGTTCCTCCTCTAGATCTCCTGAAATTGTGCAGGGTACAATACAGCACATAGACTTTACTATTCTCACTACATAGCTGGCCTGAAACATTTTCTATTCATGTAGCTTTTTAATAATGTCTTTTATGCTGCTGCCTATTTATTTCCACGGGATTTTGGCTTTGCAAAGATGAATATGTCAAGGCTTGAGGCACTCAGGACAATGCCATTTGCAAACAGGAATACTGAGAAGACTTCTCTATCTCTTGGGAATCATTTTTTCATATTAAAATGCTTAATTGATTCTTAGGACAAGATTTCTTTTTAAATAATTTTACCTTCCACTTCTTCTGTTTTATGGTACAATTCCATTCGCAATCTTCTACCATCTACCTCCAAAAGCTTTTGCAGTGTTGCTTCTTGGTGCTGTGTTTTTACAGTTGACAAGGAGATTAAATATTTGCTGATTGAAATTGACTAATAAACTATAGTTGGCTTCCTCATTGTGGCAATTGCTTTACATCATTTAAACTTATATAACGAATGGAGATAGTTTATGTTGTCATTTGTTCCTTTATTCATTTCCTCTGGGCAGGGGGGCAATAGCTTTTTTTAATAGGTCAGATTGAAGCTGTCTGAAATGCATGTCATGTTTTCTTGTTTTTACAGTTTTTTTCTAATTCAATTTTGATTTTGATCTACCCTTTAGCAAGCTGATGGTCTGTATGTACATGGATAATTTATTTAGATATAGTTCCCACTTAAAAACAAGTCATTTCCTATTCAGTTAATTTTATTTTTTGTGATATTTTTTTGATATTCCCTATGTTCAGAACCCCCTCAGATTTTCTTCTTGAAGAAAATATTATTGTATTAGTGAAGCTTCTCTGCTGTCTACTATTGGTCTCTTTCTTTTGCACTGAAGTGTTTAATAAGTATTTGATGACTATGAAAATATATAGCTTTGATGCTGTAAGAAAAAGTGTACCTAATTTAATTGCATCTAAACTATTTTATGGGAAAGTTTACATAAATTTTATTAATAATGAGTGAAATATTCACTAAAGAACCATTTTGAAAATGGTCATGTTTCCTATTCCTTTCTATGATTTTCACCTGAATTGTTCTGTGACATACTACAATCTTAAAACATTACCTGAGCGCTGTCTGTATCACGGATTCCTAATACATATGGATTTCCTTCAGATATTAACTTTGGTTTAGCTCCAGCACACAGACAGAGTTTTTCATATTTATACTGATTGCCATCTTCTGTTAAAATGCACTGTGAAATTATAAATCAATAAAGAAAAAAAGTTACTTTGAAATAAAAGAATTTGGTGGTGGGGAGGGAGGGAGATTTGGATTTAAATGGTGCCAAAAAAGCAGAAGCTTGCAGTAAAAATTCAATTTTAGAATAGCTAAAAAATATAAAGCTGCTCCTTCTAATTGGCAGTTGATGCCTTTCTATAGCACTGATAGTATGTATAAATATTTTGGCATTATTTAGAATATTTTTTTCCTTTAGCTTTTCATATTTTTTATTAACTGGAGAATAAGGTGTTATTAAAATATTTTATGAAAATAAGATTTTGGGATAACTTGTTAAACTCCGATTAACATTAAACAAAGGACACATTAAAAACAAAATGTTAAAATCCTGTAATTCAATCATGTTTTAGCTAGAGTACCAACAGGAAGTACCTTAAAGGTGCTATTTTATTATTTTATTTTCAGCAACATGGTCTGCAACTCCCAAAAGTGAATCAGGAAGTATTCTGTTTTATCACGTCACTGGCAGCAGTATCAAAATAAAATTTACGGGAGGAATGAAATGGATAAATAGAATAATTTATAGGTTACCAGGTAAACCTGAGAAAGGATAACAAAATTAAAAAAAAAACTAGTGTAAAGACTGGCCCTGTGATTTTACTTGCATAGGAAACCTCTAGATAAGGAAATTCCTTTCACTAACTCAGGTCAGTACCAACTCTACAACTTGAATAGTAACAAAAGGAAGCCTAGAGCACTGAGGGATTACATGAATTGATCAGGGTCACAAACCCAGCATGTGTCAGAATTCAGAAATAATATAACAAACATATCACTCAATTTATGACATTATTTCTAATACAATAAAACCAGAATTGTTTAATAATGCCATGAAACCAACAATTTCAAATGCAACATAAATGTACAGTTTTATTTGTTTTTTTTAAACATAAAATATTAAGGTCAGATAAGCTGGGTATTTTATATGATGAAAAATAAAAGTTTGAGACCACAAGAGAGTTTACAAAATGATGATTCACATTTAAGTGCTGGGAAACCTTTTCATTAGCTTCTGTTAAGCTAGTGGTATTAGAATATGAATGCCCATAAAAGTAACAGACATTTTCTAATTCATTAAAGAATGTTCAAAAAAGCTAAGAACACGTAGACATGAATCTGATACTTTCAAATGGTAATATATTCTGAGTCACTTAAATGCTACAGTACATAATAATCCCCACAATTTAAAAAATATAGTTTTATTTATAATTCCAATTTAAAAAAAGATAATAGATACTGGTCCTGAATATTGTATTTTGGGAGTCATCCCTAAATATAACCATTCATTGACATATATATTACATAGCATTCTAATATTGAAATCTGTCACCACTAGAAATGCAATATAAATTTTAATGCTACTACATTATCCTATCTTTTTTTTACCTAATTATCTTAGCTCAAAAGAATATTTACCCTCTCTCCATCTTTTGGTCTCCCAAAAGACCTCATAACTTAGTGTTAATTTAAAAAATATTATGACTAAAGGACCAAGTCATGCCAACTGCATAAAACTGATGATCTCAAAGGAACTGTCATCCCATAATAGGTATTGACTCCCAAATTGAGCCTGCAACCCATCCATCAATCAATAAGCATTTAATATGCAACTATTATGTGCTAGGATCTAGGGTTACAAATATAAAAGTGAGACATTTCCTGTCATCAAGAAGCTTACAAACTACTATGAGTATGCAACATATTCACAAAGAAGTAAGTATAATATAGATACAAAAAATACAACATGATTATTAAGGGAAGTTTGGCAATCGGCAACTAGAGGAAACAGGAAAGGCTTCCTGAAGGAAGTGGCACCTTAAGCTGAGCCTTAAAAAGAGTTAAGAGGTTCAATGAGGAGAAGCACTCCATGCAAGGAGGACAGCTTATGCAAAGGTATGGAAGTGAGAGATTAACTGTGATGTATGGAGAACTGCAAGCAGGCTAGTTTGGCTTAACAGTGAATGACAGAGTAATGTGTAATTAGAGTAAAAATACAGACTGAAGTCAGATTGTGAAGGACTTCAGAAGCCAAACAGAGTCTATATTTTAATCTAAAGGCACTGGGGAGCTACTGAACCTTACTGAGCAGAAAAACAACATGGTAAAAAACCTGAACTCTAGGACTATCAATTTGTTAACCGGATGGAAGATGAATTGGAGAGAGTTAAGATAATGCAGGGAGACCAAAGAGGACATTGCTGCAATAGTCTGGATGAAACATGATGAGGGCTAAGAGGTTTTTTATATGACAGAATCTAAGACACAACAAAGAAGTCCAAATATGTAAGGAAAAATAACATTTCCTTCAAGAGAGAAGGAGAGGAAGGAGAAATAAGTAGGAGAACGCAACGTGTTAGAGACCTTTTTCTAGATTTGCTGATATTGTGTAGATATCAATGCCACATGTGGGCTGCCTGTCCTTCACTCTTCCTTCATGACAAAGCTTTCTTTTCTGGTCATATATTTCTTTTGACATCCTTTATGCCACTTCTCCAGCATAATTCTTTGTGGTGAATATATCAGAATCAACTCATATCTACTTTTCTATCATCTTTTCAGTAACTCTCAACTTCAATTCTTTGGAGACTGTGGTATTCCATGACTTGCAACTATACAGCAGCATGAGAAAAATGTTTATCATAAAAAGCCTGGCCTTGTTATAGAGAGGAGGTATGGGTCATTAAAAGCACTATACAATTTCCCAAAGCAATCCAGACTGCTTTGTTCATCCTGTTCAGTCCTAGCTCCAGTTCATTCTCTACCTTGCAGTTTCTGACCAAGATATATCCACATCTATAGGCTGTCCTTTCAACTGCACAGGAGAGTTTAGACAATGGAAATCTTCATCCTCCTAGTTTTTCTTCTATGGATATTTAGACTGACCTCTTGAATAAATTCAGATCTCATTTAGAAAACTGCAATGTAGGGCTTAATCCTGAACACTGGCATGTTCAAGAAGGAATATCTGAAAAACTTGACAAACCATAGGGAATCTCTGTTTCATTGGTATTCTTACTGAATATCCTCCCTGATAGTGGCAAACAGCTTTGGAAAGCATGTCTTACTTTGGATTAAAAGTCAAGGCATCTCTGAAAAAAGTCTTCTGTTGTTATGTATTTTATTGTTTTTAGTTAGCCCAAGTTTTATTTTTTTTTCTTTTCAGCACAGTCATTTTCCACTGTATTTCCAAATCAAACCATCCTTTCCTTTTTACAAAGGCAAGTAATTAAGCAAAGACTCCATTCAATTATAACATCAAACAACTATACAATACAATTATACAATATTGTCTTCTATTAGTTCTAAGTCATGAGGAAGAAGTAAATTTCATTATCTGTTCCCTAAGACTTCATTGTGTTTTTGGTTACTCAGTTTTTTGTTTTTTGCTGGTTACTCAGTTTTAATAATATTTCATTTACACGATTTGTAGTGACTGTATATATTTTTCTCTTGGTTCTGCTTATTTCATTTGGCATCAGTTCACAAAAATCTTCCTGTTCTTCTCTGAATTCCTATTTGTCATTTCTTATTACACAATTATACTTCATTACATTCATATACTATAGGTTATTTCACCACTGAGAAAAACAGAAGGATCAAAAGGGTTGAAAAGTAAAAATATAACAGGTAGAATGAAAACTTTCTATATTAAAAGCTTTAGAAAAAATTATCTTACGTGCTCTGTCGCCTTGAGCTGCTTTACTCCAGACTCTAAAACCTTAATGTTGGGGAAACATTTTTCTAAAATAGTACTTGGTTGTTCTTCAACATCAAATTCTTCCAATGTTTTGGAAATCTGTATAATAACAATTAAATGAATGTTTGACAAATGGTTTTCGATTTAAGCCTTTATGAAGTAACTACTCTTATATAAGACAGTGATTAGAAGACGATGATACAAAGCATGAAAAATGACACAGTCCCTTTCCTATCCAAGAAACTAATTTCCTAGGAAAACAACATGGAACTGAATGCAGTGTAGCCTGATGGGAGTAAAGGAGAGAGACAGGAAAAAAAGTACTCCAGAAAAATCTGAAGAGAGAAATGGCACTTCAATCTAAGATTGATTCCATATGATGATGGATGAAGATTTTAGTAGTTGCCTTATTTATTAAAATTACAGTGTTACAGACTATCCCTATTATTTGGATAATTAAGTCTGGCCAGGAGGTGCCCTGTGCCCCTGGCCTCCATAGAGAGATGAGGAAAGTAGAGAGCAAGAAGCTGAGGATACAAAGACAAAAATGAAATAGTTCCTTCCCTCAAAATGACATTTTATTGAAAGGGATGGGAAGGATGAGACACAATATACACACACTACAAAGTATATGCAAAGAAAATAAAAGTTTATAAATACAGAAAAGTTAACTGCTACAGTACTTTTAGGCACTAGGACATTCATATGTGGCTCTTCTGCAGTTACGTAAAAGCAATACAGTATACATCCCTAAGTGGCCACTAGAAACTGTGTATTAATTATCTATGTTTTCTATGGAAAGGGATCAAGAACTATAATACTATGATTTGATTTATAATAAATTTTCACTGTTATACTAAAAATGGTCTTACATGATTATTAAAGTGCTGAAACAATGTGCGAAAGAATAAAGTTGGCTTGATGAAATTTTTCTTCCCTTAATTGGAAAAACTTAAGATAATTCATATATTCATATCTGCATTTATGCACACTTTATTCAAATGATCTAAGGAGTCTTCCTGAAAAAAGCGTTAATGTGTTTAGCCTAAGTATGGAAAAAAAGAAGTTAAAAAAACAGCCATTATTTTGGTTGTCTAAGGTATTCAAATATTTTAAATTCTAAATAGTAAGATCAGCAAATAAAGTAAATATGAAAAGAAAATTTGTAAAAATTAGTACCATTAAAATTGTCTTAACTGTTAAGTTCTAGCATTTTCTTCTAATACTAAGAAAAGCTATAACAGGTACTTACTTGCTTAAAATTTGTAACTGCTTTAATAACAGGAGAAGCTGTAACCAAAAGAACTTCTTCTAATGGAAAATGAGTAGCCAACTTGCAATGAAAGAGCAGGTAAAAAAATCAAAATTAGTATAGGTATTGATATCTGTGGAATATAAGTATAAACAATAAAATTTAGGCAAGAGAAGGAATAAACATTTATTAAGTGCCTACTACATAGCAGGTATTACATTAAGCACTTTTTACAAATATTATCTCATTTGATACACACAACAACTCTGTGAAGTAGGGGCTGTTATTATTCCCATTTTGCAGATAAGAAAACTGAGGCAAACAGAGGTTAAGTGACTTGTCCAGGGTCATAAACTAGTAAGTGTCTGAAGCCATATTTTAACTTAGGACTTCCCAATTTCAGGTCCAACACTCTATCCACTGGGTCACCAGCTGCCTCAAATATGGGTAGATCTATTTTACCTAGTAAACTTAAAATTTATTCCCCTCCACATTCAACAACACATTTTAAACATAAACAACATGAAAGGAAGGAGAAATTAAATTCAATTTAACTCAACAAGCATTCATTAAACAACTACTTGGCTATGCACTGGACAATCAAAGACAAAATGAAAGAGTACCTGATGTCAAGGAATTTACATTCTACTGGGGGGAGGGGAGAAGTACCAATAACTTGGTGGAGTTAGGAGAGGGAATAAGAATAAGCACTATGTAGGTAGGGACACCTGAGCTGTACTTTGAAGGTAGGTATGGATTCCATAAAGTAGAGGTGAAGTATATTCCAGGGCCTGGGGACCATTCTTGCAAAGGCAAATTTCAGAGAAGGAATATAGTTTGTGGGGAACAGTTACCAAGCCAGTTCAATAGTCAAAAATTGCCTATCAAAACCAGTTATCTTTTTTCATTCTTTGTCTCCTTTAGCATCATCTACTTCTTTCTTCTCTTGCCTTCTGAGACATAACGCTCTTCTGGTTTTCCCTCTTAACTTTTTCCTTTTCAGCCTCTTTCACTGGCATTTAATCCCTCTCCCAACCACTTAACTGCAGCTATGTCCCAATATGCTGTCTTTGGCCCTCTTTTCTCTACATGCTGTATATATACTTGGCAATCTCATTCACATGACATTTTGTAATTTGTCCATTTTACATGGGCATACAGCGGTAATACTACCAAACACAGTAGTTAGGACAAGGATCTAGTTCAGGGGGTGTAGACCTGCAACTTCATTGATATAGAGAATTCCCTCTACCAATGCAGGTTAACACTTAATCTACAATTTATACCCTTGGAGAGCTGCCCAGAGCACTGAAAGGTTAAATGACCCTTTCCCATTACATATGAGCTCCTTGAGAAGAGGGATTGTCCTTTACTTTTCTTTGTATCCCCTGAGCTCAGCAAAATGCCTGGCATATAACATATAAACAGTTACACAGCCAATATGTATCAGAGGCAGGACAACAGTAACGGCTTGTATATAAATCATTGTATCTCTTGCAATTATACTTCCCCTTCCACATACGCTGGGCCCACTCCTGGTTCAGATCTTTGTCATTTTTGAGCAGGACTCTGGCACAACTTCCTAAATGACCTACCACCTCTAGACTTGTCCCTCTCCAATCCTCACCATCTGGTAAAATAAATTGTTAATGTAAAGGGATGGTTATTCTCTTACTCAAAAACTTTCAGGGATTACCTACTACCTATAACACAAAATAGAAACTTTTCAGGCTAGCATTTAAGGACCTTCATAATTTGGTTCCAACCTACCTTTCCAGTCTTATTTCACATCACTTCCTTTCATTGTGGTCAAACTCAATTATTTCTTGTTCCCTGACCTTGTCCTATATTCTTCCATGTATGGAATGCTCATCTCTGACTGTGGAAATCTCCTCCTTCCATTCTTAGAAGGAAAAGAATAAAGTGCATATACTACCTACTCCATGAAGGATAGTGGATAGAGCCCTGTGCCTGGAGTCAGGAAGACTCTTCTTCCCAGTTAAAATCTGGCCTCAGATGCTTACTAGATATGTGACCCTGGGAAAGTCACTTAACCCTGTTTGCTTTAATTCACTGGAGAAGGAAATGGCAAACCACTCCAATATCTTTGCCAAGGAAAACCCCAAATGGACAGTTGGAAGCATATTATCCTTCTCTCCCATACCTACTCCAGCAAAACCTTTAAGTTTGCACCTAATTGGTTATATTCAGTTTCTTAGGATAAGTTATTCTTTATTACAAGGCATTATCTTTTGCCTTTTAGGACATCATAGTCTATGATCATCTTTTCATTATAAAAGTAACTGTCAAGTCTTATGTAAGCCTGACAGATTCCTTACTCTATTCTATTATTCTTTTTTTTTCTGATTGCTTGAAATATTTCCTTCAACTTAGAAATTCCGGATTTTGGTTATGACATACCAAGGAGCTTTCATTTTGGGGTTTCTTTCCAGAGGGATCTGGTGGATTGTTCTTATTTTCATTTTGCCCTCTTGTACCACTAGTTCTAAATAATTTTCTTTTGTGATTTCTTAAAATATAGTGTGCAGGCTCTTTTTTATTTTTAATCAAAATAGTCTGGTAGTTCTATGATTCTGAGATTATCCCTCTTCAACTTGTTTTCCAGAGATGTAGTTTTTGATAATATATGACTTATATTTTCTTCTTTTTTTTTTCTTCCAAATTTTTGGATTTTTTTTTTTTGGCTAGGCAATGGGGTTAAGTGACTTACCCAGGGTCACACAGCTAGTAAATGTTACGTGTCTGAGGCCCACTTTGAAGTCCAGGGGCAGTGCTCTATCCACTGCGCCACCTAGCGGCCCAAACTGTAACCATTAAGTGCTCAAGTGCATGCCTAACTCCCATTTTTTTAAATATACAAACTTTTTTCAACTCAGTCTATCTGGATATCTTCAATCATCCATTCGATCAATATCTTAGTGCTAACATTACAGAAGGTTAAGTACTGTAAAGTTGAACAACCTCATTTTACAGATGGGTATGAGTGCTGCAGAGGTGAAGTGATCTCCACACAGTTACAGTCACTAAGAGATGATTTTTGACGATATATTATAGGTATCACAATAGAATGAACATAAGATCAAAAAATGAACATAAGATCAAAAAGATTTAGCATTTATCCACACCCATAATTCAACTTGTTTAATTAAGTTAGACAAAGCAACTATGGCGATGCTGTTGTCTGTCCACAGGATTGTAAGAATATTCTCTTCCCTACAGACTTCAGGCTCCTACCTAACGGGATAAGGCACAAGTCTCCTTTCCCCACATTTCTGTTACTGGAAAGCTTCCCAGGCAACTGCGGAGCAGAAACCCCACTAGAGGGCTGCCCTCGGCCCCCCAAAAAGAAGAAAGGGCCGGTCCTTCCCTCTACACAAGCTCTGGAGTAGGAAATTACCAGCAGCGATCTCGGCAACCGTCAACAATACATTAAGGAAGTATCAAATGCGTGCAAACGGCTGTGGTTAAAGCAGAGGGGCATGGAGATTCACATAAGATACAGTTTTCGACTTCCTGGAACTTCCGGTCTAGCTCGGAAAGGGGTAAACACGAGCAGTCTCTGTAAGCGGCCCGTGCTTTGGAGCAAGCCCAGAGCTGCGGGGAGGCAGCAAGCCTCGAGGGGGGTCACGGGGGCGGGCCTCGGTGCTGGGCGCCGGCCGGGGCCGGTCCTGCTCTGCTCTCACCTGCTCGGCACAGGTGACGCCCGCGATGCCTCCGCCGACCACCACGAACCTCGACGCCGGCGCAGAAGGGCACGCAGCCGCCATCTCCGCCAGTCCAGCGCGGGTGTTTCTCAGAGAGAAACCATAGATAGTTGCCGCTCCAGGGGGGCGCTTGCTGCCGCCCCGGACGTTTCCCGCACCGAAGCGGAAGAAGCCCTTCCTACGGATCGCAAGAGCGCTCAAACTTACTCGCTTCCATTTACTTTCTGCGAGACCGGGGCGGGGGGAGGGGATGTGCGTGTGGTTCTGTGAGGGGTTGTGACGTCGGGGAGGTGGCAGGCTGGTGGTCTGTTCTAGATGTTCGAATGTACTTACTTTTAGAGAGTTTTTGTTTTCTTGAACCCTATGTTTGCATTTCAGAGTTTCTGCTAAGTTCTGATATTTTCCTCAGGAATTCTTGAAAGTTTTTTATTCTATTAAAGGTTTATTTTCCTCCCATAGTAAGAAGATATTATTTTTTGTGAAATATTATGAACTTAAGTACCAAAAAACAAACAAACCCCAAACCCAAATCCACATCATACAGCAGAGGATGAAAAGAGGATTATATATGAAATAATAAGTCTCCATTTCACACTACTTGCTTTTTTTTTTTTGGTTCAAGTATATAGCAAATTCTACATGTTACTTTCAAAGCTTCCATTCTTATCTGTGCTTCCTCCTTAACTCTCTTCTGTGAACTTTAAAAAATGTTTAAATGGACATTTTTTGGGGGGGGAGGGCATAAGTACTACTACTCTTCTCCCACTCCCCCTCTTTGATTCTCCTTTCAAGATCAGGGAATTTGTTTAGTTTGTGACTATTGGCTGTCTAGAAATTATCGTCTCTCTTAATGAGTCTTTCCTTATTCTTGTTTGTTCTCCTGTTGAGTCTGCTGTATTTCTACACCAAATTGTGTCTTTGTGTACAATATTTTTCAGATAAGAGTGATATTCAAGGCATGCCTGCTGCTCCTACCCATTTCTCCATATTTGCATATTCTTCTCTATCACCCCAATTATGAGAAGCTACACCCTGTTTTCCATACATTTCTTTTATCTTCATTGGCCTGTCTTCAAAACCCTCAGAAGAAAACCAGTTCACCCTCAAGGTCTCTGTTTTTGTTATTTAACTCCTTCAATACATTTGGAAGAATTAGGGTTCTGGAGAGACACTTGTTTCTTCTCTCCCTGTTAGGTTGTTAGTTGTCATATAACTCCTTCCAGTTCCTTAAATAAATTTATCTTTGTAGGAGTCTTTGTATTCTTGTGCTGGTATTTGGAAGTTCCTACTCTTGTCTTTTCATTAGAAATACTTCATAGTCCCCTATTCCATTAAAAGCCCATTTTCTCCCCCTGTAGGATTAATAATAATAGCTAGCATTTATATAACACTTTAAGGTTTGCAAAAACACTTTACAAATACTATTTTATTTTACCCCCTCAACAAACCCTAGAAAGTGCTATTTTTAATCCCCATGTTACAGATTAGAAAATGAGCCAGGCAGAAGGCCCAGAGCCACACAGCTAGTAATTGTCTGAGACCATATTAGAACTGGCTCTCCTGACTCCAGGTCCAGCGATCTATCTAATGTCCAACTTACACTTGATTACACTCAACTTTTCAGGATAAGTTATTCCTGGTTGTATGCCTATCTCTTTACTCTTTGGAATATTATACCACAAGATCTCTTCTAATTTTTCTGCCAAGATGGCTGCTTGAATAGGAGCATTATTGTCCTCTCCCATACCTACTCCAGCAAAACCTTGAAGTTTGCACCTGATTGATTATATTCAGTTTCTTAGAATAAGCTATTCTTTATTACAAGGCTTTATCTTTTGCCTTTTGGGATATCATAGTACTTGGCAAGTCTTATGTGAGCCTGACAGATTCCCTACTATTGGAACTCTTTTTTTCTGATTACTTGCAATATTTTCTTCAACTTAGAAATTCTGGATTTTGGTTATGATATAACTAGGAGCTTTCATTTTGGGGTTTCTTTCCAGAGGGGTCTGGTGGATTCTTCTTACTTTCAATTTGCCCTCTTGTACCACTAGTTCTAAGTAATTTTCTTTTGTGATTTCTTAAAATGTAGTGCTCAGGCTCTTTTTTATTTTTAGTCATAATAATCTGGTAGTTCCATGATTCTGAGATTATCCCTCTTCAGCTTGTTTTCCAGGGATGTGGTTTTTGAAAATATATGTCTTATATTTTTTTTCTTTAAATTTTTGGATTTGTTTTTAATATTTCTTGCTTCATGGGTCACTGCTTCTGGTAAGGCCATTCAGATTTTCAGGGGAAATACAATTCTTGGGTAAGGTTTACAACTTTCTGTTCTAAGCCATTAATTAATTCTCCTTCCCATTCTTTCTTCCTTAGATTTTATTTCAATTAAATTATATTTTATTTATATTTTTATCTGCATAAATTATTTTTTTCTTTGATTTCTTTTAGGGCATAGCCTTAGTAGTGTTATAGCTAGGTTGAAAGGTATCAATTGCTTTCTGGATTTCCAGACCAATTCACAGCTCCACCACCAACAATGCACTCAGGTACTTGTTTTCTCAAAGCCCCTGTAGCATTTATTTTCCTTTTTTGTCATTTTTGCCAATCTGGTATAATCTCAAAGTTGCTTTAATTTGTATTTCTTTAATATTAGTGGCAGAGTAGTTAGAGCGCCAGGCCTGGAATCAAGAAGACTTGAGTTCAAATGTGGCCTTAAGACATTTACTAGCTCTGTGACCCTGGGCAAGTCACTTAACCTTGTTTGCTTTAGTTTCCTCATTTGTAAAATGAGCTGGAGAAAGAAATGGCAAACCACTCCAATATCTTGCCCAGAAAACCCCCCCAAAGAGGTCACAAAGAATTGGACACAACTGAAACAACTAAACAACAACAAAAATTTATTAGTGATTTATATCATTTTTTTCAAAAGGATGTTGATAGCTTAGGTTTCTTCATTTGAAAACTTTCTGTTCATAATCCTTGACCCATTTGTATATTAAGAGTGGATTAGTGAAAAACTTGATTTTTTAAAAAAATATATCTTGGTAGGGGCAGCTAGGTGGGGCAGTGGATAGAACACTGGCCCTGAAGTCAGGAGGACCTGATTTCAAATGCGGCCTCAGACCAAAACACTTGACACTAGCTGTGTGATGTTGGGCAAGTCACTTAATTGCCTAAAAAACAACAACATCAACTATATCTATCTATCTATCTATCTATCTATCTATCTATCTATCTATCTATCTATCTATCTATCTATCTCTTGGATACTGGTCTTTTATCAAAAACTTGCTACAAAGTTTTTTCCCCCTGGTTTCATGTTTCCTTTCAAGTTTTTACTACAAATTTGAGTTTTATTTGCAAAAACTTTTTAAATAATCAAAATTAAATAAAACTTTTAAATAATCAAAATTGTCCATTCTATTTTGTGTGGTCCACCCCTTGTTTATCACTTGTTTATTCACTTGTTTATTCATAAACTCTTGTCCTATCCAAAGATCCAAAAGGTAATTTCTTCCTTTCTCCTTTATTTATTGTTTTTGATGTGACCTTTCATATCTAGGTCATGTATTAATTGAGAACTTACCTTGGTGTATGGTGTGAGGTATAAGGCTACAGCTAATCTGTGCCAGACTGCTGTTTGGTTTTTTCCTAGCAGTTGTTGGCAAATTGTGAATGTTTCCCCTAATAACTGGGGTCTTTGAGCATATCAAACTCTTATTCTTCTCTTGGCTGTCTTTCACTCCTCTCCTGACTCTACTTTTGAGTCTGAACTTCTCCATGTACCAGCAGTCTTCTCACCCTGGAATTTGCCTCTTCTCCCTTGAAGATTTCTCACTCTGGGAGATGCATCTGCCCTGTGGTCTCCTTCTCTGACTGGTAAATTCCTCCTGGAACTTCCGAATCAGCCATGCTCACTCCTTCATCTCTCTCCTGGCTCTGCTTCTGATATTACAGATTTCTTCTCCATGTGCCAGAATGGATACCTTCTCTCCCCTAACCAAAATCGTTCTTTTTGCATATATTTGTATTTTCAGCACCTTGCCCATTGTCTGGTGCATAGTAAGTACTTAATAAATATTTGTTGACTTGAAAACTAGAAAGCAGTCTGGCAGAAATTAGGCTTATATCAACGTTTTGTGCCATATTCCACAATAAATTCAAAAGACACATGTCCTGAATATTAAAGATCATAATATAAAATAATTGGAAGCCAAATAAATCATATATGTTTCATAGCTCTAGATAGAAACTCTATTCCTAACCTAACAAGGAGTAGAAGTAAATTGGAGGGTAAAATAGATCATTTTGCTTATACAAAGTCAAAAAGTTTATAAATAAAATTAATTCATCTAGTATAAGAAGGGAAGTAGTTGAATGGGGAAAAAAATCTTGGTATCAAATTTCTCAGATAAGAGTTTAATATCCAAAATATCTTAACAAATAATGTGTGTGTATTTTATATGTATATACATATGTTTGTGTGTGTATGTGTGTATTTATGTGTAACCAAAATCCAGTGGTCAAAGGACATGAATACATAGTTCTCAAAAGAACAGCAAACCATTAACAACAGTATGAAAGAATTCTCTAAATAATTACCAATAAGAGAATTATGAATCAAAACTCTCAGTTCTAGAGGCAGTGGTGTCAGATCAAGCTTGTATCAGATCATGAGAGCTGATTGTTAAATTTTCATTATGAGCATTTGCACCTCAGAAATTGGCAAAAGCTACAAATCAGGGCTTAATTTATTGTTTTGTTGATTGTCTAGATTTAAGGATAATGGAGAAAATAATGTAGATTGAACTTAACAGTATGTCATGCATACATTTTTTTGAGAGCCAGTTGTTAAATGTTCACCAGCACACCACTGGTTCCAAGCAACTTTATATGAGTATAAATTGAAAATGAATTGCCCATTTAAGGAGGTAGTTTCCAGATGAAATTACAGATCTTGATGATGATGATGATACTTTAGTGGGTAGAAAGGTCATTCTAGGTACAGGGAATTGGATGAGTAAACAATAGGAATCAGGGTGAAATTGTGTTTAAGAAATAAAGAAGAAGAAAGGAAAGAAGGAGGGAGGAAAGAAAGGAAGGGAAGAATAAGGGAAGGAAGAAAGAAGGTGAGAAGAGAAGGAAGGAGGCAAGGTAGGAAACAAAGGAAAGAAGGAAGGAAGGAAGGAAGGAAGGAAGGAAGGAAGGAAGGAAGGAAGGAAAGAAAAGAAAAGAGTAT